GGCTTAATTGCTCATTGAGTTTTCTTTGACTGTGCTCTTCCCCAAAGCAGTGCCGTCTGTGGGCGTCTCTTCGGCTCACGGGTTTCTCTTTATGAGTCGCTGAGATGAAAGCGTTAGATACAGCGAGACGTCTTTACAGTGCATCTCACACTTGGGCTGTTGTCAGCGTGTCATCTGCCACTTATTACATTTACGAAGCAAACATCGCACTTCAAAGCGATTGCATGGAGGAAAGTTGCTTTGAACGCAGGCATTTTGTCGTAAATGTGCCCAAACATTTTCTTTACGGTGTTACGCAAGCAACAAGCTTACGAAATCTTTGTTTTCATGCTGACATTTTGGCAAGATACCATTATGAATATTCTCCCCTTCACTCTAAAAAATGCTGGGTTGTTTTAACCCATATGGACGAATTCAAACATTGGGTTACAAAATGTCATTTAGAAATGTAACCCAATGGCTGGGTTTGTCTATATTTTACCCAAAATTGGGTTAAAACAACCCAGCATTTTTTTTATAGTGTTATCTCAGTGTTTAAAGGGTTAGTTCACCCAAAAATGAAAATTCTGTCAGTATTTACTCACCCTCATGTTGTTCCAACCCCGTAAGACCTTCGTTCATCTTCGGAACACAAATTAAGATATTTAAGATATTAAGATCGCTCCTGCATACAGTCCATAGGCTTCTTGAGGGAATGACTATTGCTGGCATCGAAAAGTCATTAAAGACATCGTTAAAATAGTCCAAGTGACTACAGGGGCTCAATCTTAACTTTATGAAACGACGAGAACACTTTTAGTGCGCAAAAAACAACAAAAATAACGACTTTATTTCAACTATTCGTTTATTTCTCCCGCTGTGCGAGTCAGGTTACTAGTTTAATAGCGTAAGCTTCTGTTATTGTACGTCACACGCATCACACACATGACCAGCGTCGGCCAATAGTGAGCCTACGAGTGACGTAGCTTTACGCAATCACACTACGTTAACTGACTTACAGGCTCATGGAGAAGGAAGTGAATAGTTGAAATAAAGTCGTTATTTTTGTTTGTTTTTGCGCACAAAAACGGGGTTGAACAACATGAGGGTGAGTAAATACTGACAGAATTTTCATTTTTGGGTGAACTAACCCTTTAAAGAGGTCATATGATGCCCTTTTGGAATAGGTCTTCATTACTGAATGTTTCCCCCATATTTATAATGCCACTACACAGGTTTCAACACACTACTAACTAACTCAAACAGGCCCGTCTGCGTATTATTTTATTCTGCGTATGAATTATTTAAATAAGGAATATTGTGACGTGTTTGTTTCAGACTTTTTTTTCCTGGTGTCAATACACCCTAAGTCTTTCCCAGTCAATATATATAGTGTTTAATACAAGTTTGATGATTGAATTGTGTCTAATTATAACTTGAATTATTTTAAAATACACATGCATTATACAGACTCGGTCACAAAGTTGTTGTTGTTTTCCAGTAATCAAGTTGCACTGAAAATATACTGAAAATTCCAGAGATTTTCCCAAACTCTGTATTCAGCACATCTGCAAAATATGTTTATTTGTGAACTATATGGTCCTCTCATCGAGCGCAGCTGAATCGGCTCTCCAACAGTAACTTAACTCTGCTGCGTAAACCTTTAAAGATCTGAAAACGAGCATCTTTACAGCTGAGAAGTGGCGTTATGAACGTGTAAGTGTGCGTTTCAGTTTTCAGCTGGGAATGGCCGCTCTGAAGTGTGTTTTCTGGAGGGCTGAATGGACGGGTTTCATTAAATCCCCCGGCCGGCGTCGGCTCTGGGAAATGAGATCCAGACGTGCGAGCGCTCTGAGCGAGGATACTGGGAATCACAGGCTTTTATTGAACAACTCAGTGTTTTTCTGCATTTTTAAGAGGCTCTGCAGCTCATTGGTGCACTAAGAGCACTCGTAAAAACATTTCATCTTAAATGTTACGTTGGCTCAATGGAAGCTTGTCTGCGTCACAGAATACACTTTTTTTAAGATATTTGTGACTTTTTTAACTCTCAATTGTGTGTTATAAAGTCAGAATTGTGAGTTATAAAGTTATAATTGTGAGATATAAAGTCATAATTGTGTGTTATAAAGTCAGAATTGCGAGATATAAAGTTATAATTGCGAGATATAAAGTCATAATTGTGTGTTTTAAAGTCAGAATTGGGAGATATAAACTTGAAATTCTGACGTTATATCTCATAATTCTGACTTTATATCTCACAATTCTGACTTTATAACACAATTCTGACTTTATAACTCACAATTCAGACTTTATAACACAATTCTGACTTTATAACACACAATTCTGACTTTATAACACAATTCTGACTTTATAACACAATTCTGACTTTATAACTCTGAATTTATAACACACAATTCTGACTTTATAACACAATTCTGACTTTATCACACAATTCTGACTTTATATCTCACAATTCTGACTTTATAACACACAATTCTGACTTTATAACTCACAATTCAGACTTTATAACACAATTCTGACTTTATAACACACAATTCTGACTTTATAACACAATTCTGACTTTATCACACAATTCTGACTTTATATCTCACAATTCTGACTTTATAACACACAATTCTGACTTTATAACACAATTCTGACTTTATAACACACAATTCTGACTTTATCACACAATTCTGACTTTATATCTCACAATTCTGACTTTATAACACACAATTCTGACTTTATAACACAATTCTGACTTTATAACACACAATTCTGACTTTATCACACAATTCTGACTTTATAACACACAATTCTGACTTTATATCTCACAATTCTGACTTTATAACACACAATCCTGACTTTATATCTCACAATTCTGACTTTATAACACACAATCCTGACTTTATAACACAATTCTGATTTTATAACACAATTCTGACTTTATATCTCACAATTCTGACTTTATAACACACAATTCTGACTTTATAACACAATTCTGACTTTATAACACACAATTCTGACTTTATAACACACAATTCTGACTTTATAACACAATTCTGACTTTATAACTCACAATTCTGATTTTATAACACAATTCTGACTTTATATCTCACAATTCTGACTTTATAACACACAATTCTGACTTTATAACACAATTCTGACTTTATAACACACAATTCTGACTTTATAACACACAATTCTGACTTTATAACACAATTCTGACTTTATAACTCACAATTCTGATTTTATAACACAATTCTGACTTTATATCTCACAATTCTGACTTTATAACACACAATTCTGACTTTATAACACAATTCTGACTTTATAACACACAATTCTGACTTTATAACACACAATCCTGACTTTATAACACAATTCTGATTTTATAACACAATTCTGACTTTATATCTCACAATTCTGACTTTATAACACACAATTCTGACTTTATAACACAATTCTGACTTTATAACACACAATTCTGACTTTATAACACACAATTCTGACTTTATACCACAATTCTGACTTTATAACACACAATTCTGACTTTATAACACAATTCTGACTTTATAACACACAATTCTGACTTTATAACACACAATTATGACTTTATATCTCACAATTATGACTTTATATCTCACAATTATGACTTTATAACACACAATTCTGACTTTATACCACAATTCTGACTTTATAACACACAATTCTGACTTTATCACACAATTCTGACTTTATATCTCACAATTCTGACTTTATAACACACAATTCTGACTTTATAACACAATTCTGACTTTATAACACACAATTCTGACTTTATCACACAATTCTGACTTTATAACACACAATTCTGACTTTATATCTCACAATTCTGACTTTATAACACACAATTCTGACTTTATATCTCACAATTCTGACTTTATAACACACAATCCTGACTTTATAACACAATTCTGATTTTATAACACAATTCTGACTTTATATCTCACAATTCTGACTTTATAACACACAATTCTGACTTTATAACACAATTCTGACTTTATAACACACAATTCTGACTTTATAACACACAATTCTGACTTTATAACACAATTCTGACTTTATAACTCACAATTCTGATTTTATAACACAATTCTGACTTTATATCTCACAATTCTGACTTTATAACACACAATTCTGACTTTATAACACAATTCTGACTTTATAACACACAATTCTGACTTTATAACACACAATTCTGACTTTATACCACAATTCTGACTTTATAACACACAATTCTGACTTTATAACACAATTCTGACTTTATAACACACAATTCTGACTTTATAACACACAATTATGACTTTATATCTCACAATTATGACTTTATATCTCACAATTATGACTTTATAACACACAATTCTGACTTTATACCACAATTCTGACTTTATATCTCACAATTCTGACTTTATAACACACAATCCTGACTTTATAACACAATTCTGACTTTATAACACACAATTCTGACTTTATAACACAATTCTGACTTTATAACACACAATTCTGACTTTATACCACAATTCTGACTTTATAACTCACAATTCTGATTTTATAACACAATTCTGACTTTATATCTCACAATTCTGACTTTATAACACACAATTCTGACTTTATAACACACAATTCTGACTTTATAACTAACAATTATGATTTTATAACACAATTCTGACTTTATAACTCACAATTATGACATTATAACACGATTCTGAGTAAATGTTTCATTCTGTGATGGAAACAAGCTTGCATACAAGAGTGACTTACACATTTCTAGCTAATTTATTTATATATTTAATTTTTTCTATGCTTATATATTTTCTCCTTTCCCAGTTTAAAATGCAGAGACAACTGCAAGTAAAGCATGACTTCCCGAAGAGTAAAAACTGTGTGACACTCGACGTGTCGACTCCTGCCTCAGCCGGTGGTGCGAGTTAGGATGATATTGATACACACTCTCATATCTGTGTGTGTGTCTGCAGTGTCCGAGGGGCAGACGCCGGGAACGGCATCCGCGTGTTCATCCCGGACATCGGCATGTTTGTGGTGGGTCTGGTGACGTGGCTCCTGTGCCGGAGTCTGGAGAAGCCCACGCTCAAGGACCTGCAGCACAACAGCCACGAGCAGGTGAGAGACACACACACACACACACACACACACACACACACACACACACTCAGAACTGCAGCTGGATATAAACCGGATAACGTCCGTTCAACTTAATTTGGAGCGAGTGTCCAGTGTTGTGGCGGTGTGGAGTGACGTCTGTCCGGTGTGTGTGTGTCTCACCGGATGCGCTTCTGTGGACACAACGCCTCATCTCCGACTCAATCACCGACACTGACGAGCGCTCTGAGGCTGTGTTTAAGGGAGACTGTGTGTGTGTGCGTGTGTGTGTGTGTGTGTGTGTGTGTGTGTGTGTGACGCTGTGTGTCACTCCTCTCGGCTGCACAAGTGAACCAGTGGAGATTCATGTGTCGTAATTGACTTTGGAGAGATCGTTCTCTCACTCACCAGATCTAAATATATACAGGACACTTTAAATATAATGTGTGTGTCCAGTTCATGGATCCAGACAGAATACACATATTTTTAGTGTATTGATTCCCACTAAGTGCTCGCTTTGAATTTGATCATCTGCCATGAAAGATCCTCCGTTCCTATGAAAACATCTCCATCCGCTCAATATATATATATATATCATTTCTTCCTATAGATAATTAGTGGAAATGAGGCTTTACGTAGCGAAACAGATCGCATTATAAAAACTAAAATGAAGTATAGATGCAAGCAGAAATGATTTATGTTTTGTGCGCTTGACTATAATGTTTCTGCTCAGCTTTGCTCCATGTAACTTCATATTTCGTGTGCGAGTGATTCATGTTTTTAATAATTTTACTTAAAATATCAAATACTGTCGTGACTTTTCAGACCCTCCTCAAATAGTATCAAATTTCATAACGTTTTGGCATACAGTCATAAGGGCTGCCGTGGAGAAAGCAGAATAATAATAATAAAACTAACAATAGGAGTTTATTGCATAACAGAAGTGCAAAGAGCCGCACAAATCACCAAAACAACACCCTAAATTTCTCTCAGAAATTACAAAAAAATGTCCTTTTATCCTTTACTCCTTTAATCTTTCCCTCGCGGGTCAAAATGACTCTAAGCCCTAAAATTATATTTATATTTCTCCAGAAAGCTTTTTTTTTTTTTTTTTTTTTGATTTTTTTTTTTTTTCTACATTTCAAATGCACTTTTTTGGGAGATTTTTTTATTTATTATTTTATTTACCTTTAAATTGAGAATTTAATCAATACATAATAAATAATAGTCATCTAGAAGTACATTCCTCACGTTCAATTCAATTCAAAATATTTCACTGCATAACTCATTTAATTCAGCTCTAAATGTCTTCCATTGGATGTGTGTAGAGATCCTCTTGCGGATAAATAATAATATAAGATAAGTTGATATTTCATAACTCTGGATGGTGTTATATCTCTATATGGAGCAGAGGAGCTGTTCCGCTGGGTCCTAAAGCCAGCCATGTTCAGTCTGCATTCATACACACATTATAACAGAATTTTTTGGTAATGTTTTAGCATTTTTAGTTTTTTCTACGTGTCCTGAAGCATTCCTCACATTACGTTCATTCCTAAGACGGTTATTCCAAAATTACCTGATTTCTTACTTTTTTAAAATTAACTCCTCGAATCCATTCAAAACTGTTATTGTGTGTTTGTGTGTTCGTGGTTCAAGAAGTCATGATGAATGATAAACACTCACGTTTAAAAAAAATAAATCTAAACAATGTGGTTAAAAATTAGTGTAAAATGTGTAAAACAGAAAAGTTGTTATAACATATTATCTTAAAGTCCCTGTAAAGTCAAAATTAAGTATGTGTTCTGAGTTTGTCACACCACAGAAAAATGTGATATTAGCCACCCAGCCAAATTTGAATGATAAAAAAAGCCGGCAAGTACATAAAATAAGCTCTCAAAATCTTGAAAAAATCAGCAGTTATCTCTGTTCTCAAACGCTGGGGGCGTGTCCGCTGGCTGCGCTGAAACCACGCCCACTAGCGGGAAAGCTGTCGACGGTGATATTAGGTGAAACTGCCTTCGCGACGGGAGGATGAACGCTGAGGTGGGAGATAGTCGTTTTGGCCCCGTTCACCAGTAACAGCGGATCATCAGTGAATCCCAGTCGTCTCTGAGGAAAGTTTATAAAACGATACATATGTAACATTTATAATGTGTTTAGAACTTTTTTTGTAGAATTGCCTTTACAGGGACTTTAATGAATTATTAATCATTGATTTCCCTGTATGAACTCATTAATCCACACAGCCTGCACATGTTTGCTGATAATGAGATCATAATCTCTCCACGCCGAAGCGCTGATATAAAATCACGAATAAAGTATGATCTGTTACGAGCGTAAAGCTCCATGGCTGAAGTGTGTATCCTCAAGCACAGCTAGAGTGTGTGTGTGAGGGAGAAGTCCACCAAACATGAAGCATCGCTTCAATATTAGAGAGAGAGAGAGAGAGTGTGTGTGTGCGTGCGTGTATGTGGGTGAGTGAGAGCTTGTGTGTGTGAGAGTGAGTGTGTGTGTGTGTGTGTGTGTGTGTGCGTATGCGTGTATGTGGGTGAGTGAAAGCTTGTGTGTGTGAGAGTGAGTGAGTGTGTGTGTGTGTGTGTGTGTGCTTGCGTGCGTGCTTGTGAGAGAGTGTGTGTGTGTGTGTGTGTATTCAGCAGGTTCACATCTGGAATACATTTGCTGATGTTGTTTTTTCGGTGGCAGTGCTAGAGTTACCAACCCCCCCCCCCTCCCTCCTCTCTCTCTCTCTCTCTCTCTCTCTCTCTCTCTCTCTCTCTCTCTCTCTGATGTACAGTAGTGGAGCGGCAACAATTGTCCCTCCACGCTCCAAGCGTTTAATAATCACTCCGCTCCAGCTCCGCTCCGGGTTCACCATTTACCGCTCCCGCTCCACTCCTCGCTCACTGATATCAGAAACACCGCTCCGTGTTCGCTCCCCAAGGAAATTACGAATAAAGTATGGGCTCTATGCACGGCGTTATTTCCGGTGAAGGATTAAGGATGCTCGATAACTTCCACCGACCGTAGAGTCCAATGCAATACCGAGAATTTATATTGAATTTTATACTCCATGGTTATAATAAAGAAACGTTAGTCACAAAAACAGATAAAACAGACACCCCTCGTTGTGTTTATGCTTCTTTTTAAAATTATACTAAATAAACATAACTATATATCAAAATACATCTAAACGTATGTACGTTTCGTTTCAAAGACGGGAGGACAGTAAATTTTGAAGACTCTTCCATAATCCCGTTTTCCTCGGTTCTCCTCCGCTTAAATCTCCACAACCGGAAATGGACGAGCATCCTTGCGTCAAATGCGGAACTTATGCGTGCATATAGCCCATTAAAGTATGCTTTAAAATCTCACAAAACGTCTCCTCATCATAATACATAGGCATTTTAAATAAAATAATAATAAAAAACAGCATTAGGACAATAGTTGCAATTTTTTGCAGTTGCAGTTTATTGAATTTGGATAGAGTGCAAACTTAAGACATGCTATGCTAATTACAGGTTATCAGCATTATAAATTAAATATCATTGCTGCTTTTTGCAGAGCACATTTTGTTTGGAAAGACGAAAATAACTAAGTTTTCATCAGTTATTTATCTACGGGTCGCTACATTTCTCACAGATTCATGCTCATTTAAAATCAAATACGGACAGATCGCCTACTGTATGATTACATTTGTTTGAATGCAATGCATTAGTGAGAAAGCGATATTGCGTTGGTGAATAAGTGTTACCTGTTTAAAATGTGCTTTCACCCGATCCAGCCCGATCTCATGAAAGTGCGTAGACTATCTATAGCACATATTTTATTTTGCGTGTGTGCATGATACGCACTTAATGGCAAAAACGCACTTCACACCCATTATCCTAACCGAGGGGTTTAGTGTGCTTCATTTGCACGCAAAAACTATTTTTTGGCATTTTAATGGCACGAGAAATAAAATTTGTGCTATAAACACGCACTTTCATGAGATCGTGGTGCCCGATCATATTCATATTCAGTAGGCTTATAACTATAACCTCCCGCAGCCACTCATGTCCATCAGCGTCATCATAACCTTCACATTTTTTTCTAAATTTGAGGGATTCATCTGCATCATGCTAGCGTAATGTGTTTAACGTGTGAATCCTTTCTAAAAATGCAGTCCTACAATGAGCCGTTGGCATGAATTGTCCCCGCGATAGAGCGGTAGTGGAGCGCTAGTGGAGTGTAATTCTCCCTCACGCTCAGACCTTTATGGATCGTGACAGACAGATAATTAATACCATGCTGTAAGTGTTTAAAGGTGTGTGAATGAAGTCAAGTTGTTTTAATATTAATATTCTTATATTACAGAATCCAAGAATATCAGCTAGCGGTAGTTCTGCAGGGTACCATAACACACACAGCTGAGCAATAAACACCAGGACAGTTACTGAGAGTGATGGACTAGCACAGTATTTACAGGGGTTTCAATGACTGATGCTGGAATGCAGAAGTGATATTATACATTACTGAAGCCCATTGAGAAATATAAAAATGAATGCATTATTTACTTATTTTCAGGGCTTTCATTTAACTTTCACTCACCAGCCAGTTTGGCTACGAAATTAAGCTAAATTAAATTAAGGAACAAATGTCGTTAAGGTTCACATTTATGATTATAGATTAGTGAACTTGAATAAAACAAAAAGATGCGCACGGATCAATTGTTTATAATCAACACTGCAACATTCTGTGAAAAAAACACCTTGGGTACCCTAGCAACCACATAGCAACACCTTAGCAACCACCCTGAGTACCCTAGCAAACCACATAGCAACACCCTAACAACCACCCCAAATACCTTAGAAACCACATAGCAACACCTTAACAACCACCCCAAATACCTTAGAAACCACATAGCAACCCACTAGCAACCACATAGCAACACCCTAGCAACCACCCTAAGTACTCTATTAACCACATAGAAAAACCCTTGCAACCACCCCAAATACCTTAGCAACTGCATAGCAACACCCTAGCAACCACCTTGAGTACCATATTAACCGCATAACTACACCCTAGCAACCACCCCAAGAATCCTATCAAATGCATAGTAGTACACTAGCAACCACACATGAACACCCTAGCAACCACCCCAAATACCTTAGCAACTGCATAACAATACCCAATCTATCTAATCTTTTTTAAATCTATATTTTAGAGCTGTAAGTTAAACACGTTATGAACGGTGTTAACGCAAACCCATTTTAACGGCGTCAATTTTTTTTATTGCGCGGTCTTTTTGGCCTGGCAAACTTTGTAGTTTTCTTTCACATGCTTTTACAACAGGATGCGTCATGTGCGACGCTACGCTATGAAACCCATTCATTTCAATGGCTTGTGCCGCGCGAGGACGTTTTGTTGCTTCGTCGTCCAAAGCGCAAGCGGATCTAGCTAGACCGGAAACAAAACAACAGGCACGCCGCAAACAGTCGTTTGGGCTTGCGAGCCGGTCAAATAGTTGGTTAACGTTACGTTTTGAGTGGATGACGAGCGCGAGACTCCGAAATGAGATTCTGAATGGAAAGTTTACTTTTAACAAGTTGCCATAATCCATTAACAATACCAAAGTGATCTGTGTGTTTTGTCGTTGTGAACTGAGCGATCATCATCGCACGTCCAGTCTGAAACACCGCTTGATGATGGCCAAGCAAACACACACACACACACACACACACACACACAGCTGATGCAAATCCTCCGCTCCCTCGTCAATATCAGGACCTGTCAGTATTTCTTTCACCCTTTTATTGATGGACAGTGTTACGTTGTGTGAGATTTGGAGATTATTTGCTCCAAGTGAGAATGTGAAATTGAACACAGTATAGGCCAATGTTGTTTTCAATAAAACACATTTGCACAAAGCAAGCCGATTAACTATTGCATGTTGATAAGAGCATTAAAATGAGAAAAAAATAATGGGACAAAAAGAAATCAAGAGACATTTAGAATAGATAAAAATGTGCGATTAATTGCGATTAATCGTGAGTTAACTATGACATTAATGCGATTAATCATGATTAAATATTTTAAGCGTTTGACAGCACTAATATATACCTGTACATCTGTCTGTGTAATTTTAGAAATCCTAAACCAAAACTAAAATAAACTTCTTAACTTCCGGGTCTATCTTTTCTTGAGCCAACTTCAAAGTTCCTTTACAAACTTCGCTCATCCTGTACGTTCTTCACAAACACAACCGTCCGCCTCTCGTCGATTACGGTGATCAGCTGGAGGGGTTACACTCGTGGAAGTGTGTGTGTGTGTGTGCGTGTGTGTGTGTGTGTGTGTGTTTTCCCAGCACAGACTCTCATTCATGCTGGGAATATGGTAAATATAGCGGAGCGAAACACTGTCAGTTTTTTGTTTTCACAGCAAAGCGAGACTCGTTCAAACACACACCTGATTTAGCTCAGCTTGTGTTATATGAGCGGAGTGTGTGTGCAGCACAGCGCCGAGAGAACCAGTCCATCACAGTTCAAGCCTTTATTTGTTATCTTTTTGATGATTATGGATTACAGCTTATGAAAACCTTTTATTTGGGGTTTTCATATCTGTAAGCCATAATCATCACAATTATAACAAATAAAGGCTTGACACATCTCACTTCGCATGTAATGAGTCTATATAATATATTAGTTTCACCTTTTAAGTTGAATCACTGAAATAAATGAACTTTTGCACCATCATTTTTCGAGTTTCACTTGTGTGTATATAGGGCTGTCAAACGATTAATCGCATATGAAATAAAAGGTTGTGTTTACATAATATATGTGGGTGCACTGTGTATAATTATTTTGTATATATATATATATATATATATATAAATACACACACATGCATGTATATTTAAGAAAAAATATTTAAATGTAAAATATTTATATATAATATAAAATAAATAAAATATTTATATTTATATATATTATATAAATTATATATAAATCTGTATATACATGAAATATTTCTTAAATAAATACAAACATGTGTGTATATTTATATATACAAAATAATTATAGGCTACACAGTGCACCCACATACATTATGTAAACACAAACTTTTATTTCGTATGCGATTAATCGCGATTAATCGTTTGACAGCCCTAAAAACCAAATAGATATATACACACAAGTGAAACTCGAAAAATGAGAATATGGTGCAAAAGTATTATGTGTAAACAGACTTTTATTTTGGATGTGATTAATCGCGATTAATCGTTTGACAGCCCTAGTTTATACACATTTTTATTTCAGTTTTAATAATTAAGTTAAACTAAATGCGAGTGAGAAATGTCGCCTGAACACTCTAGCGTTGGTTTTCACAGACAAACACTCACTTTTTGTAAAACTTGTTTTTCATTGTCCTGAAGCAGGAATGAAGAAGTTTCCCTCATATTTCCTTCCATAAACGCTTGAAGAGTGACTCTAGACAGCGCCGTCGGGATTTAATCAAGCCCTCAGACCTTCATCCTGTTCTAGTCTTTCTGGACTCATTTAGCCAGTGTTAACTTCGTTAGGAAGGAGAACGAGGCGCTCTAATGCCTTTTATAAAGAATCCTGGAGTTGCACAGCAGTGGATTCAGGCTTTACAGTGAGGTTTAGTGTATTCCTTTGAGGAAAAACGCATGATTTTTTACGTTTGTTGTTGTTGTTGCATGTTTTATGTTCCTTGTGCCGGATGTAATATGACATCAGCGTGAGATCCAGGTGAACATCTGGACACACCTGGGAGTTTTAATCAGATTGTGCAACCGTATACCACAATAATGAGGCACTCCTGACCAATCCAAGCATTTTATAAATGTTCAAATGTTCTATGAATATATAATACCAGTTTGGGGTCGGTACATTTTTTTAAAATGTTTCTGAAAAGCACTCTTCTGCTCACCAAAGCTGCATTTATTTGATCAAAAATACTGTAAAACAGTGAAATATTATTCTAATGTAAATCATCAGTTTTCTATGTGAATATATAGTAAAGTGTAATTTATTCCTGTGATTTTCAGCATCATTACTCCAGTCTTCAGTGTCACATGATCCTTCAGAAATCACTCTAATATGAGGATCTGATGATCAAGAAACACTAATGATTATTATCAGTGTTGAAAACACTTTCATATTATTGAGAAAACTGATACATTTAATTTTTCCGTATTCTTTGATGAATAGAAAGTTTAAAAGAACAGCGTTTATTGGAAGTTTATGCTAAATGTCTTTATTTTCCAGCAGGTGTGTGTGTGTGTGCACAGGCGAAACTCGAAAATTTAGAATATGGTGCAAAACTTCATTTATTTCATTAATTCAACTTAAAAGGAGAAACTAGTATATTAAATAGACTCATTAATTTTTTTATTCTATTTTTTTCATTTTGATGATTATGGCTTACAGATATGAAAACCCCAATGTGAAAAGGTTTTCATATCTGTAAGCCATAATCATCAAAATTATTACAAATAAAGGCTTGAAATATCTCACTTTGCATGTAATGAGTCTATATAATATATTAGTTTACTGTAAAAGGTGACTATAATATATAGTCACCTTTTAAGTTGAATTACTGAAATAAATGAAGTTTTGAACAATATAAATTTTTTTCGAGTTTCGCCTGTATGAGCCAGCTGTACAACCATTGGATTTAGGTAAAATTACGAAGTTTAAGAGAACAATTTAAACTCGTACTTTCTGTAACATCCATTGTCATGTTTCAGGAAAAGGAGGATGAAGAAGAAGACAAGAAAAGTGAGAAGCTTGAGGACGAGCTGCTGTTCGAAGACTTTGAGCTGGGCGATGAAGACTGTGCTCTTCCTGAGGATGAAGAAGATGACGACGAAGAAGAAGAAGAAGGAGAACTCGAGGAGGCCGACGTCGAAGAAAGTACCAAGATGAAGATCCTGCGGCAGATAGCAGACGTGGCGTCCAAACTCAAAGAGATCATTGGCAATCTGATTACCACTGCAGGAAAAGTAGTCGTAACCATATTATTGGGCCTCACAGGTGGGTAGTGTTGAGTCCGACATCACTCACCACATGCGGTCCATTCACAGCGTTCATTCATGAGCTGAAGATGAATACAAGCTCAAGTGTGTTGTTATATCCCAAAGCTCAAACAAAAAGAAATATGTGAGGGATAATGTGCATCCAGACAGTTGTTATCGCAAAACAAACCCTGGCAGTGTGTTCAGGACCCCGACGCGATGACATTACCACGCGTATTAAGTCGAAACATTTTATTAGCTCATTAAACCCAACGCTTCTATGAAGAAAACAGTTCCTAGCGAGTGGTTTTGAGCCTAGACAAACTAAAAAGGTCAAACAAAAGGGATAATGATAGTATTTGCTTCTACTGAAGCTGTCAGCCCACATTATATCAACTTAAAATGGTGAAAAACTACATTACCCATGATGCTATGCAGAAAATTCCACCAACAGCCGAGTCAGAATAGCTCTTAAGCTCCGCCCACTCCCATAAACCACTGTGAATGACTTAATAATCAATCTCAAAATACTCAATTTTTTATATATATATGTGCATTGATTGTGCTGTTTGCAATGCATCATGGGATTGTAGTTCTTTCCCTCACTAGTTCACAGTTTTTGTCTTTTCAAAAACTTTTTGCTTCAATTCAAAGTCTGTAATGTTGTGATTCTCCTCGTAACTGGTTGGCTCGATTCATGGCTTATAACTCTTTAACGAAGACTAAAAAATTATTTTTCCGGAATTCTCCGGAACCAGCACTCCTGAAAAAGGGGGCGGGCACTAATCCACTATTGACGGCGAATAACTGACCTCGGAATGTTGCGACTGGCCAATCAGAATCAAGTATTTCAGAGAGCTGTGTAATAAAAAGAAATAAAACATTTACCACTAAAATCCAGTCATTTTAATAGGAAACCTGCCATTTTTGCCTGTAAAAATTCAACAACATACAAATATGATAATCATAATCTCAGAGCCTGATTAAGTGCGAGTTCTAATATCATTGCGTGACCTTTATAGCCATGGATAATTCACCTTTTGAAAATAAATAAAAGCAAGCCCGAACATTGTAATCTATGACAAAGAGACTGTTTCAGTCACTCCGTATCGTTTTATTAATGTTAAAATGGTGTAGTATTTATGAATTATTATCCATTTAGTTGTTTAGAGTGCTGTGCCAAGCGGGAACTCTCCCGTCTCTCTCTTTAATCCAACACTGAGTGACTTAAACTGCAGTTTATCGACTGGCCACTAGAGACCGGCTGCAGAAGAGAGTCAATCCCATAAAATGTACGGGAACCGTAAAATGTATTGTTCCCAAACATAAAAACAATAAAATGTATCAGTTTTTGATTGGACGGCTGGGTCAAAAGTGACAGTCATGAGCGTTGCGTTTTATCCAAAGAACATTTGTAACTGTTGGCGTGAAAAAAACTGATCAGCGCCTCGTTACGCTCATGGCGTTCTAGAAAAGTGGCGCTCCCATTGAAAACAATTGAAAACATACTTTTGGTGGCCTTAAAGTTGTGCATAATTAAGGGCGTGGCAACTTGAGTGACAGGTGGATTGCCTCTGCTGTCAATACTAGTGTTAGTCTGCTGTCCGTTAGCGTAATTTCGCTGCAGATTTTCGTTTGTCCGGGAGTGAAGCGACGACGGATGGCGATGGCTTCAAAAATGCTCTTCAGAAACATAATGGGTGACACTACGTCCATACTATTTTTTACAGTCTATGCAGTGCACTTTAAGAGACTCCGCCCTCATGCTCTTCTGATTGGCTGTGATTTATGACTGTTTTTGTCGCACGTCTGGTTAGGACACACTGCAAACGCCTTTCCTCTGCCTTCTCCCGATGTGTGTCAGGTATGATGCTGCCGTCTTTGACCTCCAGTGTGTATTTCTTCACCTTCCTGGGCCTGTGCACCTGGTGGTCCTTCTGCCGGTCCTTCGACCCGCTGCTCTTCAGCTGTCTGTGTGTCCTCATGGCCATCTTCAGCGCCGGACACCTCGTCATGCTCTTCCTGTACCAGTTCCAGTTCTTCCAGGAGGCCGTTCCACCCGGGAACAGCTACGCCAGGTGAGACCACAGAGCCTCTCAAACCCGGGTTTAAAGCCACAGTTACGCTCGTCTATTGTGTCGTATATCGAGTGAATCGCTTCTGGAACGAGAACACATGTGGGCGGGGCTTGATTGTGTCTGTGTGGAACTGATTGGGTGGTTTTGGTTTGCTATTGGCTGATCACATGTGAGTGACCGGTTATAGTCCCGCCCACATCATCAGAGAAGAGAAAAGATGCTGCAAGAGGATCTGATTCTCATTCAACATTATTAACACTATAATGATGATGTTCACTGATAAATCATTTAAAATAAACACTGCAATATTCCATAATAACAAGATTTCATGGTGACTTTAATAGGGTATGTAATGAAGTTGGGTCTCAAGAACACAGATTTGCTTACTTAGTATCCAAATATCTGAAACTTCTTAAAGGGTTAGTTCACCCAAAAATGAAAATTAAGTCATTAATTACTCACCCCCATGCTGTACCAACCCTGTGAGACCTTCGTTCATCTTTGGAGCACAAATGAAGATATTTTTGATTAAATAAGAGCCAAATCACTACCACATTGGCTCCTAAGGGACTGACACTTGACGGCCGAGAAAGTCAATGAAGAAAATATTTAAATATTCCATGTGACTACCGTGGCTCAACTATAAGTTTATCAAGCGACGAGAATACTTTTTGTGCGAAAAAACAAACAAAAATAATGACTTTATTCGACTATTCCTCTTCTTCCTTGTTGGCCTAACCCTTTAAATCAAGATGCATTTACTAGATGAGTAAAATGCCATGAGATATTATGGGGCAAAAAGATCAAAATGAAGTGAGTTTTTGCTTAAAACAAGCGAAATGATCTGCCAATGGGATCAGAAAAATAATCTTAATTCAAACAGAAACAAGATTATATATCTGACCCCATTGCTGCATAATTTAAAGCAAAACCTCACTTTGTTTTGACCCCCAACCAGAAACAATATGTAATATCGTTTACTACTTTAGCAAATGCATCTTGATTTACGAATGGTTTGATATTTGAACTGGACACAACTGTTTTTGCAGTGAACATATGTATTCAGGATCACTTTTGCCCTTTTTAATGCTTGCCCTGTTGAGTTCGTGGATGTTGATGCGAGCGGGCGAATGCTGTGATGTATGCTGTGTTGCACGTATAGCCCGCGTGCGGCCGGATCCCCTTACTCTGGCCAATGAGATTAGAGAGCGGCTGAAAACCAAACACAAAAGGAGAATTCAATTAGAGCGATCCGGCGAGCGGGAATCCTCCATGTGAGCTCGCCTGTCTGGCTCAATCACGCTAATCTAGCGACCTAGCTTGTTTATTAGCTTGGTGGCGTTACAGCGACTGGCGTCCGGTGTCGATCTGATCCAGGCTTTGAGGTCAACCCGTCATTAGCGTGATTAAAGGAGGAACATTAATGGACAGTTCTGGTTCTGGATGCTCATTGATGATCACTGAGATATAATGGGCTTTATGCCCAGCTGCACTACTTCCTGAACTTCAGCCAGCTCCTTGTTTCCTGTCTGCCATTATTGGACAAATTGATTAATTCAGATATGCTTGACCTCAGTAGTCACGGCAACAATAATCAGGCACACCTGAATTAATCAAGTTTGTCCAGTAATGGTAGACAGGAAACAAGGAGCTGGCTTAAGTTCAGGAAGTAGTGCAGCTGGGCATAAAGCCCATTATAGTTTCATTCATATTCATATTTTGAATCAGTTTTTATTTTTAAATAAAGTTTTAGCAATATATTAATTTTTAGTTATTTTAGTACAGTACATCACATCAAGTTAAACTAAATAAAAATGAGAAATGTTGCTTTGGCATCTAACTGGAATAAAATGTTTCTTTTTTGCCAATATATTTTATTTCATTTAGGGTTTATTTTATACAGGTGAAACTGGGAATATTAGAATATTGTGCAAAAGTTCATTTATTTCAGTAATTCAACTTAAAAGGTGAAAGTATTATATAGACTCGTTACATGCAAAGTGAGATATTTCAAGCCTTTATTTGTTGTAATTGTGATGATTATGGCTTACAGATATGAAAACCCCAATATTTTGATATTGGTTTTCATATCTGTAAGCCATAATCATCAACATTATAACAAATAAAGGCTTGAAATATCTCACTTTGCATGTAACGAGTCTATTAATATACTAGTTTCACCTTTTAAGTTGAATTACTGAAATAAATGAACTTTTGCACTATTTTTACCTGTATTTTATTTCAAGTAAATAATTTTTAATGGGTTTTAGTTTCAGTTTTAGTTATACTAACCCACTTCTAGAGGACTTATACAGAAAGTAGGGACACTTTTGAAACTATTTAAAGCGCCAGAGATGTGCATTAAAGGAGTAGTTCACTTTTAAAAAAACGTTTATAATGATAATTTACTCGCCCCCATGTCATCCAAGATGTCCATGTCTTTCTTTCTTCAGTCGAAAAGAAATTAAGGTTTTTGATGAAAACATTCCAGGATTTTCTCCATATAATGGACTTCAATGGGGACCAAACGGTTCAAGGTCCATATGACAGTTTCAGTGCAAATTGAAAAAAACTTTTTTCGTGTCATTTGGTTCATTCAACGAACGAAACGAACGAGTTGACTCGGGAAAAGATTTGTTCATTTTGCTGAACGAGTTCGAACAGGAGAGTCACGAATGTGCGTCACAGAACAGAGCAAGGCGAGCATTTGAGCTTATAAAACTAAAACTTTGTTATTTATTTATTAAATGAGTGCTCGTTTCGCTTGATAAGACCCTTATTCGTTGTCTGGAATCGTTTAAAGCTCTTTGAACAGTTTGCACTGAAACTGTCTTTTGGACCTTGAACCGTTTGGACCCCATTGAAGTCCATTATATGGAGAAAATCCTGGAATGTTTTCATCAAAAACCTTCATTTCTTTTCGACTGAAGAAAGAAAGACATGGACATCTTGCCTGACATGGGGGCGAGTAAATTATCAGCAAAAATTTTTTTAAAAGTGAACTACTCCTTTAAATATGATTTGCTAGCCTAGCATGTATATCTCCATTAGAGGAGTCTGTTGCCCGCCGCTCGCCGTCATCATTAGTGTTAGTGTGTATCTCAAACCAAGAACGACCTACTGTCACACTCTATTTCAAAAGTTTGATTTAAAGAGTCAATATTCGCGTTGCTTTCAGAAATCTGGGTTTAGTTCTGTGTTGTGTATGGCGTGTGCCCAGCGTTCAGCTCCAGGAGAGTAAAGTTCAACAGACTCGAGTCTCAAACCCTACACTAATGATTTTTTGTATTTGTATAAGGCTTCTGGTTTATTGAATATGAGCTGCATATTACAGTAAGCTGGACGTTCTTGATCACTTTTAAACCCTTTAGGTCTGATGTTTTGAGTTGACTCCATGTGAAAGGCATTCATTTCATAGTCATTCACTAACCTTTATGTTATGACTTTCATTTTATATGTGGAGGTATTTTAATGAATGTTGGAATATGATCGTTTTTGCAATGATGAAGAGAACGAATCTGAATTGATCAAAAAAATGTAATTAAATAGGCCCATCATACATATTAATATACTGTTTTATTCTAATAAAATAAATTACTCTCATCATATATTATTAAAAAAGCTGCGTATGTCCTTTAGAAGTGTCTGATATCTACAGTACCTACTTGAAAGCAGACATCCAGAAACACAGAATTATTGCAGAATATAGGACTTGGCGAGGATCGTCTTAATTGAATATAAAAGGTTGAGGAAAAAATCTGATGTGTTAAAATGAAGATGATGTCATTACTGACTCTCCCTCATGCCGTCCCAATCCCGTCAGACCTCGTTCATCTCCAGAACACAGTTTAAGATATTTCAGATTTAGTCCGAGAGCTTCATTGTAAATGTGTGTACGGTATACTGTCCTTGTCCAGAAAGGAAATAAAGACATCATCAAAGTAGTCATGTGACATCAGTGGGTTAGTTACAATGTTTTGATACATTTTGGTCCAAAAATAACAAAAACTGCGGCTTTATTCAGCATTGTGTTGTGTTCCGGTTCTGTTGTGGATCCGCGTTCAGTGACGCGGCTGACGTGTGTGTGGTGCGTCCGTGTATTCGGGTTCTGGGCTAAAAAATGCAAGTGTTCCTCTCTTCCCCCTTTTCCACCAAAAAAAGAACTGGTTCAGAACTGGTGCTGGTTCAAAGTTGGTTCGGAGTTCAACTTGCGAACCGCTTCAGAACCGGTTTGTTTATCCACTGACTAGAGCGCCCAGGGAACGACATCATTACGTCACTGTGTGCGTCGCCATACATCTTAGAAACGCTTGCAAACACAACATTACTTTGGGATTATCTCTAACTCGTGTACCAAGAAGGCTTTAAAACTATTGAAATATGTAAGTGTTTTAATATTTTCGTTTGATATGTAATCTTTTCTGATAAGTTATGTACCCCAGTCTTGTGTCTTTTTTTCTTTCCATTTATTTGTTCTGTATTGTGACTGTTTTCTTCTTTGCTTATAATGTCTTCAATAAAAAAATTACAAAAATAGAAACGCTTGCGTTAACTTCAAGCATAACAATTACAAAGGCGGACTCCATCGTGTTTCTGCAAATGTTTCTCTTGGATTTGCGATCCTTTATTATGGTCAGAAAAGATGTTTAGGACACATCTAAACCCCCGACGTAAGCATGATGTGCTAAAAGAACGGTTCTAGTCCAGCAAAGAGTTGGTGCCGCTTTGGAACCAGTTCTCCCGGCCGAGAACCGGTTCTTTGGCTGTCGAAACACAACGAACTGGTTCGTGCGCACGCGCAGTCACCGGACCGAACCGGCTCTCAAAATGCATTGGTGGAAAAGGGGCTACTGTGGAAATCCTTAGACATGTGTGTGAAGATTGGTTTGTACAGCGTGCGTCTCCCTCAGATTGTAACCGAAGCTCAGCCGCACCACACACACGTCAGCCGCGGCACTGAACGCGGATCCACAACAGAACCGGAACACAACACAATGCTGAATAAAGCCGCAGTTTTTGTTATTTTTGGACCAAAATGTATCAAAACATTGTAACTAACCCACTGATGTCACATGACTACTTTGATGATGTCTGTATTTCCTTTCTGGATAAGGACAGTATACCGGACACACATTTACAATGAAGCTCTCGGACTAAATCTGAAATATCTTTAACTGTGGTCCGGAGATGAACGAGGTCTGACGGGATTGGGCCAAGATGAGGGAGAGTCATTAATGACATCATCTTCATTTTTGGGTGAACTAACCCTTTAAGGTGCTTTATGCGACCGGCCACGTGTGTTTTATAGGCTGCTGTCACTTTAAGAGCGAGCGCATGATTCCAATATAATGTTACACATCCGATTTCTTTCTCAACTGTTTATGTTCACTTAGGACATAACTTAAGACGTGTATTTTAACTACAAAAGCACAATTTGTTCACGCGCTGTCTGAAAAACCTTGAATGGTTTAAAATCGTTTAAATGTGTAAATTAGCAAGAAAACACGTGCAACTGATAAACTTTCACTCTGTGATTGTTAAACGTAGCAACTCGCATGCGTTCCGTACGGCCTGATCCGTACGATCCGTCGCGCCGCTAATCGTTATCGTGGATCGATATTCAAACGCTTGAGAATGAAACCCGAATCCTCTGGTTGTGGTGTTGCCGGCGGCCTCGGGGAGCCCAGCTGTTTCTCATTACGACAGGACGGCTCTTGGCCTGCGCTTCAATTACACAGCTGGTTTCAGGGAGCGCTGCTGCGTGTGAGAGAGGAAAAACAATCAAACGTGACTCGAAAAGCCTTTGAGTAACGTACATGCAATTCCTCTAAACGAAGCCTGGAGTGGCGTCTCCAATGGCTGGCCTGTGTTGTCCTGACACTAATGTTCGCCTTCAAAAGAGCCATTAGCGGCGGATACGAGACTATAATCGCGCAACTGTTGCGTCTCGTTAGGATGGGTTGCGAACGCGAAGCTGACAGCAAGATACAAACACTAGACAACAGCTTTGAAGCTGTTTGGGCTCTCTTAGACACAAACAATCGTCCTGACCCCTGAAAGTCCCACTTTTTAAAATCGTAACTCTGCTTTTTTGGGTCCAATCCACATCCTGAAACCTCATACGCATTCAAAGCCTCTACAAAACACATAGATACTACAAATATGTCAGATGAGGTTTGAACCGCGCTCAGAAAACACACGGTGAAATGAAACGAGCCAAGCCAAACACACCGACGTGCGCAGGAATCCTGACACCTTTCCGAAATACAATGTGCGGGAGAAGAATAAAAGAGGCAAAGAAAGCAAAAACACGCGAGTCATGAGCGAAGAAATATGCCTTACCAAAACCCACATAGAATGAAGTGGTTTTTACAGGATTTAGCAGGATCTCTTTCTCAAACAGAACCTGAGAAACACCCTATTAGAAAAACACTGGGCGATCTGCGAGCCGCTGCGTCTGGACGAAAACAAAGAGCTTCTCTTTGACGATCACATAAACAGCACAATCGCTCGCAGCTTTGATTACACACTCGCTGAACTTAAACATGTGGAAATGTGGAGAAGACTCTATTTAGGGTTGAAAAAATGTCCATTTAGCAAACCCAGAGATTAGAACCAAATGGTTTTATGTTGCTTTGTCTCCGCAACCAACGCAGGGATCATTGGAAGTCATTCAAATACAAAAAAATACAAGAAAATCACAATTGTATTCATTTAATTGATGAAAAAATGTCAGTAAATGTGTTACTAATATTACACAAGATTTCTATTTCAAATAAATGCTGTTGTTTTGAACTTTCTATTCATCAAAGAAAGAATTTTCCACAAAAAATATCAACATTGATGATAATAATAAATTGAGCATCAGATCCTCATATTAGAGTGATTTCTGAAGGGTCATGTGACACTGAAGACTGGAGTAATGATGCTGAAAATACACTTTACTATATATTCACATGATTTACACTGGAGTAATATTTCACTGTTTTAATGTATTTTTGATCAAATGAATTATTTCAGAAACATTAAAAAAATCTACCCCAAACTTTTGTGCACATAAAAATAGATATGAATGATACAGTAATAATGGATGTAGATAGAGCTAAAGAGAGCTGAAGCTAAAGCGTAAAAATATAGAGCTATAAAATTAAAGGGATAGTTCACTTTGAAATTAATTTTTGATATGTTTTATCTTACCTCAAGGGCATCCAAGATGTAGGTGTCTTTTAATTTTAATATTTTTCGGTCAAACCGTTGTTGTCTGTCAGTCATATAATGGAGGTCTATGGTCACCACTCAAAGAGCATGCACAGAGAAGTCCAGATTAAACATGATTTAATGACTCGTAAATGTAAGTACACATTGATGGCCTAAGACACGAAACGAGCGGATTGTGTGAGAAAACGAACAGTGTTTATATCGTTTTACCTCTTGTTAACACAGCCACGTCCAACTGATCCTCCAGAGATTTCGGAAGTTTTACCTTTCACTAAACATATTTAGATATACAGAAAATCACAATGGAAGACGATTTTGATATATCACTTCCAGTGCATGTGCAGACAAAATCACCTGTGCCGTCAGATCAGTTTGACATGGCTGTGGTTACAAGAGGTAAAACGATATAAATACTGTTCGTTTTCTCACACAATCCGCTCGTTTCGTGTCTTAGGCCATCAATGTGTACTTACATTTACGAGTCATTAAATCATGTTTAATTTGGTCTTCTTTGTGCTGCTCTTTGAGGTGGTGACCATAGACCTCCATTATATGACTGACAGACAACAACGGTTTGACCTAAAAATATCAAAATTGAAAATACTGCGGAAACAAAGACACCTACATCTTGGTAAGATAAAAGATATCAAACATTAATTCCAAAGTGAACTATCCCTTTAATATGTATAGGAGACGTAAAAAAGAAATGTAAGCAAAATGCAGACGTTGGCGAGTTTGAGGCGTAGTTCACATCTCTGAATCTAGAGGTTTATGAGTTCTAATAGTTGTGACTAAAGATCTTTATGATTCGTCTCTCCACATTTTTCTACTTAAGTGTGTGTTTATTATGACCTGGCATCTGCATTATTAATAGCAGCTCAACTCTGCGCTTAAACTCGTTATTTAGGACTTGGATGTCACGCTTAGGGTTTGGATGATTCATGAAAGGCGAGATATTCTGACTTAATATTTTCTCGACGGCATGAGGTAGCTGCGAAATGAACATCTGGCACACCACAGTCGTTTAACTAACGGCAGCAGAACCATAAAACCCAGCGAGTGTGTGTGTGTGTGTGTGTGTGTGTCACCTCCTCCTCCAGTGGGGTTTAGCTGCGAGAAGCTGCCGTTTTATACATCTCATCAGCTCAATATGACTGTGTAATTAATGTAAGTTTTATTCAAAAGCCACGTCTCTTGATCCTGAAGGGGAATGACACTCTAATTAATAATGTTTATAATGTTGTATGTGGGAATGAAGAGCTGAGAGTGTGCTGTACTCCTGTTTTCTCTTTATTCATCTTTTTTTTTCACTTTTATACCCTGTTAAACAGGCATATGCTGTTATTTTCTTGCTCAGCCGTCCACTCTTGCTTCCACTGAAAGAAAGTAAAAAAGGGAAAATAAACACAAGTTTAACCCTGAGAAATCTGGAGTGAGTTAGCAGATCTTTTAGTGTTGTTCTCTGTTGAAAAATGTAGTAAAGTGCTTTTTGATTGGGTGATAATCTTATTTTTCTTTCCCAGATCATTACACACACACACACACACACTACAAAAAATGCTTTTCTTATTTAGTATTTTTGTCTTGTTTCCAGTCCAAATATCAAACATTTCTTAAATCAAGATGAATTTACTATTTTTATTATTTTATATACATCAATTAAGCTTTTTTTTTTGCAGTGTATATATTATATATACATACAGTATTCAACATTTGAAGTGGATCATAACCTAAAGTTATACATAAATTTGAACAATACCCGTTCTTGTCTTAGGACAACTTTGATTAACGTTTTTACCACTTTAAATATTGTATGTATATATATATATATATATATATATATATATAGATTAATGTAATATCGTATCCTTCACTGTATTCTTATATTTTGTTGTACTGTATTTTTAATGAATGAATAATTGTCCTGTTTCTCCTCAGTCTGTTTGGCATTTCTCCTGTGGTGAAGACCGACTGCTCGCACACCTGGATGTTTAAAGTGAACCCTGACCTGCCGTGGCACCACTTCGTCAATCCCATCATGCTCTTGGTGCTGTATTACACCCTGGCCACACTCATCCGCCTCTGGCTTCAGGACTCAGAGGACATGGTCTGATTACACTCCTTTTCTTCTTCATTATTCTTTTTCACTTCGGTATTAACACTATACACACACTGTTTTACGTTGAACCGTTCCTGATACTCGTTTCCGGCAGTTCAGAATCACTTCTTTCAACTTTTACATTCGCAAACAGCTTTATTACACACACTAAATGAAAGGCAATATCCGAAATAAGCACTTTAAAGGGAAAATTCATCCACATGTACAGTCAAATATGATTTTAATATCCGTTTACTAGTGTGATCAGGACACTATAGTTCATTTCTGTGAGTGACAAGAGCAAAATAAAGTAAACCATGACATATTACACACAAATTTATACACATGTGGGACTAAAAATGATTTGAGCTGATGATGTTTTGCTGAAGTGTGTTTTCTGTAACGCTCTTTTCACACACACACTGAACAACATGAAGCATTGCTTGGTCACTGGTTGAGCTAAACTGGTATTATCTAATTGTGTAGTTCAATTGAACAGATATTCAACATAATTAATGTGTGAGAGTCCAACAGAAGGACGGACAAAACCAGTCAAATATCCACTGATCTGAGAACTGAGATCTGCTCATGTTTATCACCAGCGAATAACCTGTGATGATGTGAGAAGTGTGTGTGAATAAGTGTTGGTTTGACAGTATGTGAAGTTCTGCTTGTGTCTGATCATCAGCAGGAGGGAGAGAGAGAGGAAGGAGAGGAACCGGCGTCTCCTGAGAGCGATCCCGCCGTTCACACTGCGGACACGAAGAGGCGGCTCTGGAGAATGGCACACTATCGCACGGATAAGAGAAATGTATGAGTCTGAGTCTCACTACCAAACACTTGACCATTACCATAACTCATATCACTCATTTTCATGTTTACTATTACAATCTTCCACCATTTAACCAATTAAAATGCTTGTTTGTGTAGCAATACCCCAAATTGTGAAAAATGATAACAATTAAAGGCTTGAAATATCTCACTTTGCATGTAATGAGTTTATATAATATATTAGTTTCTCCTTTTAAGTTGAATTATTGAACTTTTGCATGATATTCTAATTTTCTGAGGTTCACCTGTATATAAATAGTCGTCATGAATTGTTCCTCTGTATTTTTCAGCTGCTCACCACACAAGACGGCTACAGCTCCCCCGAGGTCTGTTTCAAACCATAGATCATGACTCGAGCCTGTCGGTAATGAAAGCCGTGTAAATAGTGGTGTTATAGTGCTTCTGAACTCTCTCAGGTGTTGGTCGTCACTAATGGAGCTTCGCTGGACTTCACGTCGGGTCCTCGTGAGAATGGACCGAAGTCTGTGGATCTCTACTCAACCCCTCATTATAAACCCGGCCGACCCGAGTCTGATCCACGTACGTGTTTCCCTGTCCTGTCACAAACTGATGCTCTGGAGAGGATCAGTGTTATGGGGTGAAATGGTTTTCAGAAAAAAAAAAAACTGACTATACTTTTCTTCCAAGCAAAACCATCTTCTTTTATGGCATTCCAAGTCGCTTCAATCAATTGCAAAAACTCTTTTTGTAATTAAACAATATTATCTTATTGTCCTTTAGAAATCCTTACAACAAATACATTTGGTTTAGATGCAAACTGACAACAAAAGAAAAATAGTATATATATATATATATGTGTCTGATCCAGGTCATGTGCTTATGTCCATCATTCATGTAAAACAAAGAACGGATGGATGGATGGAAGTGGATGTAGATAGATAGATAGATAGATAGATAGATAGATAGATAGATAGATAGATAGATAGATAGATAGATAGATAGATAGATAGATAGATAGATAGATAGATAGATGGATGGAAGTGGTTGGATGGATGGATGGAAAGATAGATAGATGGCTAGATGGGTAGATGGATGGATGGATGGATGGATGGATGGATGGATGGATGCATAGCTGGATGGATGGATAGCTGGATGGATGGATGGATGGATGGATGGATGGATGGATGGATGGATGGATGCATAGCTGGATGGATGGATAGCTGGATGGATGGATGGGTGGATGAATAGATAGATAGATGGATGGATGAATAGATAGATGGATGGATGGATGGATGGATGAATAGATAGATAGATGGATGGATGGATGGATGGATGAATAGATAGATGGATGGATGGATGGATGAATAGATAGATGGATGGAAGTGGATGGATGGATGGATGGAAGTGGATGGATGGATGGATGGATGGATGGAAGTGGATGGATGGATGGATGGATGGATGAATAGATAGATGGATGGAAGTGGATGGATGGATGAATGGATAGATGGATGGAAGTGGATGGATGGAAGTGGATGGATGGATGGATGGATGGATGAATAGATAGATGGATGGAAGTGGATGGATGGAAGTGGATGGATGGATGAATGGATAGATGGATGGAAGTGGATGGATGGAAGTGGATGGATGGAAGTGGATGGATGGATGGATGGATGGATGGATGGACGGATGGATGGATGGATGGACGGATGGACGGATGGATAGATAGCGGCGCAGTGTTACTCGTCCGGCGTGTGTCCCCCTCTACACAGTTATGCTTCTACAGTAAATCTCTGGTTTAGGGATGTTTATTTATATTTCCTTGAAAACGAGACCAACATACTGATATAGATTTGTGGTTGCGCTGCACATAAACATGTAGTGATCACCACATACATAATTTCACAGTTTTCCCATAACCATCTGCACTCTATTTCCTAAACATTCTCCATACATTTCAAGAAGTTTTTTTTTTTTTTTAATTCTTGGAAATGCTGTGCAAATTTTCCAGATATATGCAGGCAAAGCCTCCATTCATGTTCAAGGGCGAAGATATTAGATGATTCACAGAATCCAGCTCTAATGTTTGACAGCCTTGTTCTTTGAATACATGCTTCTTTTCCAGTGAAAATGGACTGCGGTGTTTACAAGATGGACTCGGCGTATGTTGAGCTTCCAGAGGTCCCGCAGGCGTTTGGTGTTGTGCGTGTGAACTCGGCGGTGAAGGCCTTCCGGTTCATCATGAAGCAGAGCTACATCTGCGCCCTCATTGCCATGATGGTGAGTCCTGCACGACAGGCCTCCCTTTCAGAAGCGTCTCCGACTCCTGACCTCTCCTTGGGGGGCATTGGTCATTACCCAACAGATCTGCACAGACAGGGTAATGTGTACCATGTGCACAAACCTTCAACATGGAGGAGGAGGTCCATCCTGTTGGTGATCTTTGAGATGTGATGTAAAGTCTGGTTGGATCTCGCATGCCTCGTTCATTTAGAGACATTATTTTAAAGGTGTTAAAGTAAGGGACGGGCCGATACTGCACTCGTGTACTAAAATGCTCTGAGACTCTGAAAACACTGGGTTAAAAACAACCATATTTGGGATATTTTCAACCCAAGGGCTGGGTAAATATAGGGCATGGGTGGGGTTAGGGATCAGGGGGCGGAGATGGGTAGGATTAGGTATATGTAAGGTGGGAGGAGTTGGATCCAGATGTAAGGGGTGGAGATGGGTGGGATCAGGGGGTGGGGTTAGGGATCAGGGGGTGGGGTTAGGGTTCAGGGGGCGAAGATGGGTAGGATTAGGGGTGGGGTTAGGGATCAGGGGGCAGAGATGGGTAGGATTAGGTATATGTAAGGTGGGAGGAGTTGGATCCAGATGTAAGGGGTGGAGATGGATGGGATTAGGAGTGGGGTTAGGGATCAGGGGGTGGGGTTAGGGATCAGGGGGCAGAGATGGGTAGGATTAGGGGTGGGGTTAGGGATCAGGGGGCAGAGATGGGTAGGATTAGGGGTGGGGTTAGGGATAAGGGGGCGGAGATGGGTAGGATTGGGGTGGGATTAGGGATCAGGAGGCGGAGATGGGTAGGATTGGGGTGGGGTTAGGGATAAGGGGGCGGAGATGGGTAGGATTGGGGGTGGGATTAAGGATCAGGGGCGGAGATGGGTAGGATTAGGGGTGGGGTTAGGGATCAGGGGGCAGAGATGGGTAGGATTAGGGGTGGGGTTAGGGATAAGGGGCGGAGATGGGTAGGATTAGGGGTGGGGTTAGGGATCAGGGGCAGAGATGGGTAGGATTAGGGGTGGGGTTAGGGATCAGGGGGCAGAGATGGGTAAGATTGGGGGTGGGATTAAGGATCAGGGGGCGGAGATGGGTAGGATTAGGGGTGGGGTTAGGGATCAGGGGGCAGAGATGGGTAGGATTAGGGGTGGGGTTAGGGATAAGGGGGCGGAGATGGGTAGGATTGGGTGGGATTAGGGATCAGGAGGCGGAGATGGGTAGGATTGGGGTGGGGTTAGGGATAAGGGGGCGGAGATGGGTGGGATTAGGGGTGGGGTTAGGGATCAGGGGGTGGAGATGGGTGGGGTTAGGGATCAGGGGGCGGAGATGGGTAGGATTAGGGGTGGGGTTAGGGATCAGGGGCGGAGATGGGTAGGATTAGGGGTGGGGTTAGGGATCAGGGGGCGGAGATGGGTGGGATTAGGGGTGGGCTTAGGGATCAGGGGGCGGAGATGGGTAGGATTAGGTATATGTAAGGTGGGAGGAGTTGGATCCAGATGTAAGGGGTGGAGATGGGTGGGATCAGGGGGTGGGGTTAGGGATCAGGGGGTGGGTTAGGGATCAGGGGGTGGAGATGGGTAGGATTAGGGGTGGGGTTAGGGTTCAGGGGGCGGAGAGTACTTTTGATCACTTGGGTGAGTAAATCATGGGCGAATTTTCATTGTTAAGCAAACTACTGGTTTAATTTCCCCTGCCCTTCCTCCCAGGCTTGGAGCATCACGTATGTGAGCTGGCTGACCTTTGTCTTCCTCATCTGGTCGTGTACGCTGTGGATGGTGCGGGACCGGAGGAAGTACTCAATGATCACCTCTCCATTCATGGTGTTTTATGGGAACTTGCTCATCATCCTGCAGTACATCTGGAGCTTTGAGTCCCTCAAACCAGTGCCTGGGCTCTTCCTGAAGAAAGAAGTGCCCTTCCGGGAATTGGGATCGAAAGTAAGACCAGTTTATGCGTTTTGTTTATGCTTGTGTATTGGGGTGTGACGAGATCTCGTGCTCATTAGTTAGGAGTTCACACACAGACTCAATCTGAAGTTCTGGAAGCTCATATTTAATGTTCAGACTCATGTTCAATCAGGAGAAAAGCCAGTCAGTCGAGTTTGTGGCAAAACCTTTTACAGTGCTTATATACAGGTGAAAAAAAAAGTCAATTTATTTCAGTAATTCAACTTAAAAGGTGACACTAATATATTATATAGACTCATTACATGCAAAGTGAGATATTTCAAGCCTTTATTTGTTATAATTATGATGATTATTATTCATAAATTAGAATATTGTGAAAAGGTTTTCATATCTGTAAGCCATAATCATGAAAATTATAATAAATAAAGGCTTGAAATATCTCACTTTGCATGTAATGAGTCGTCTTCTCTCCTCTATTGTGTCGTATATCGAGTGAAACGCTTCTGGAACAAGAACACATGTGGGCGGGGCTTGATTGAGTCTGTGTGGAACTGATTGGATGGTTGTGGTTTGCTATTGGCTGATCTCATGTGAGTGACAGGTTATAGCCCCGCCCACATCATCAGTGAAGAAATGCTGCAAGAAGAACTGATTCTCATTCAACATTACCAGGAACAGGAATTTAACACAATAATGTGCACAAATAAATAATTTATAATAAATAATACAGTATTCCATATGAATGACAGTGAAGCTTTCATATTGGCTATCGCAAAGTAATTACATATTCAAAACAAGTACTCAAAACATGCAGCGACTCGAGAGAGCATGCAGCTTTGGACACAGCCAGACTCTCGAGAATGAATAATCTGATTGTTTGACTTGAGTAATGCAAAGTGTGTGTGTGTGTGCAGACTCTGTGCCTCCTCAGTTTCTGGCTGTTGCTCAGACAGTTTCTGACTGAGAGGAGAGAGAGAAAGACGGACGAGACGCTTCTGTGTGACGTCAGGGTGGATGGACACACACTCGGTGAGAGAGACAGTCAGAATCATCATCTTCACCACTTATGTGTGTTATTGCTGTCCAAGAAATGATTATTTTGTTCTGTTTCTTTAATAAATGCCATAAACATGGGATAGTTGGTCGGATTGTCTAATTTAACTTGTTTAACTCGATAGTTCATCCAACTTAGTGTCAAGGAGTGATTTGGCTAAAACGTGTGTTTTAAGCCCAGCTTCCATCCACACATTGACAAAGAGAAAACGTTACAAACGTTTACAAATGTCCAGTGTATATGCTGCATAGCAAAAGAAATCTGCCTTTGAGCCATTTCCAAAAATGATTTTGTGTGTATCATAAATTTGTTATCATTTGCATCCCAGATATCCCCAAATATTTGTAATATGGAGAGTAATGAAACTGCCAATCATACTGTAAATTAATTTCACAAATAACATAGTATATTAAAATAAGGGTTACAAATGTGTGTGTGTGTGTATATATATATATATATATATATATATTGTATATATTATCAAATAATTATATTAATATTTATATTATTTATAAATATATACATACTATATATATATATATATAATTTGTATATATAAACAATTAATTATATTAATGTTTATATTATATATATATATAATTTGTAAATATAATCAATTAATTATATTAATGTTTATATATATTTGTAAATATAATCAATATATATATATATATATATAAATCTTGTTCCGAGGTGTCCTTCCAAAAGGTTACCAATTAGAATGAGATAATTGGCAGTTAATAATTTTATTTTTAATAATAATGAGTACATTGAGTACATTGTGCTAATAAGCTTTAAAAATAACAATAACGTCAAATCAATCACTGCTGCTGTGTTTTCAGAGACAGATTCAGTTGTAACTTAAACTTTTTATTTGTGTATATTAACGTTTTTTTAAATTCTCTAAAAACTCTAGAATTCTTTTAGAGCTTCTTCAAAGATTAGCAAAAACATTTTCAACAATTTAATAAATAATTAGCATTTCCATCATCTATATTGTTAACCATTTTAATGCTCTAAACCTAAAAAGGATTCTAAAATTTCTGAAATCTAAAAGGATTTCACCAAAATCCTTGGGTGTAAACTTGGCTATAGTTAAAATATGAACTATACAAAAAATAGCAATAGACTGTTATGAGGATGTTCACATATATTTATAAAATGTGTGTGTTGCAGAGGAGCACGAGGCCGGTGGACACCGAGAGATGATGGATGTGCTGGGACGGACAGTCATGGCCATGTTCAACAAATACTGGATCTACATCTGCGGAGGAATGTTCTTCTTCGTCAGCTTCGAGGGACGCATCGTCATGTACAAGATCATCTACATGATGATGTTCCTGTTTTGTGTTGCACTTTATCAGGTATGTGTGTTGAGCTCTGACACCGCACAGCAGCTCCAGTGCTCTCTCTATCTCTCTCTCTCTCTCTCCAGATGTTTAAGCGTTGTCGTATATTAATGACAGCGAGAGACACATTATAGAAATTAATAGACTATAATCCATGCAGTTTTTTATGTCTATTTTTATATTTTGTTTATTTTGTCTATTGTTGTTTTCTTTGTCATCTGTTTGTTTTGTTTGTCGATCATCCATATATTTTTAGTTCGTTTATTGTCCATTTGTTTGTTTGCCTATCATCAATTTCTTTTTGTTTGCTTTCATCATTGTTTTTTCTTTGTCTATCATCCATTTGTTTAGTTTTTCTATCATGTTTTTGTTTTCCTATCCTATTTTTTGTTTGTTTATCGTCCATTTGTTTGTTTTGTTTGTATATAATCTGTTTTTGTTTTGTTTGCCTCATCTATTTTTTTATCGTCCATTTGTTTTTCTCATCGATTTGGTTTTTGTTTGTCATCCATATTGTTTTGTTGCCTTTAATCATTCATTTGTTTTGTTTTTTTGTTTTTTTTTCTCATCTGTTAGTTTTTGTTTTGTTCGTTCACCATCTATTTGTTTTTTGTTGATCATTCATCTGTTTGTTTGCTTTATCTATCATCTGTTTGTTTTTGTTTCTTTATCGTCTGTTTGTCTGCTGTTACTGTATCATCTCTGCGTTTGTTTTTTGATGTGTGTCTGTTTCTGCGCACGTCATTATAGTGAAAGTCGTCTGATGTGTTGTGCGACTCGTTTCAGTTGCACTATGAGCGGTGGCGATGGATGTTGAAGTATTTCTGGATGTCAGTGGTGGTCTACACCATGCTGGTGCTCATTCTGGTCTACACTTTCCAGTTCGAGTCCTCCATAAACGTGTGGTCCAACATGACTGGCATGAGCAGAGAGAAGTAAGCATCTTCTACAGTCAAACCAACACTTATTCACACACACTTCTGGCATCACCACAGGTTATTCGCTGGTGATAAACATGAGCAGAACTCAGTTCTCAGATCAGTGGATATTTAACTGGTTTTGTCCGTCCTTCTGTTGGACTCTCACACATGAATTATGTTGAATATCTGTTCAATTGAACTACACAATTAGATAATACCAGTTTAGCTCAAGCAATGCTTCATGTTGTTCAGTGTGTGTGAAAAGAGCATTAGCGGTTACAGAAAACACACTTCAGCAAAACATCATCAGCTCAAATCATTTTATTTTGAAGAATATTTGTGTGTAATATGTCCCAGTTTACTTTATTTTGCTCTCCTCACTGACAGAAATGAACTATAGTGTCCTGATCACACTAGTAAACAAATATTAAAACTTATATCTGGTGTCTGAATCATTTTTGTTTTAACTGTCCATGGGCTAATATTTGATGCTGGTCTGATGTGTGTTTCGTGGTGTGCGCAGGCTGGAGGATCTCGGTCTGGAGAAGTTCTCGGTTCCGGCTCTGTTCACTCGCATCTTCATCCCCACGTCGTTCCTGCTGGTGTGTATCCTACATCTGCACTACTTCCACGAGCGCTTCCTGGAGCTCACCGACATCAAGTCAGTGGCCGACAAACAGAAGAGCACGATCTCCAGGTACAGCCGTGCTCGTGCACATCACAGAGATAAAGTATTGGACGGGTCTAAGACGTAAATGTGGTTTGTATGTATTCTATATTAAAGAGCCCCTATCATAGCATTTGAAATGTTCCTATTTTTGTTTTAGGAGTTCCCAAAAACAGTTTAACATGCATGCGAGGATAAAAAACACTTTATTTGTCTTATAATACGCATTTATTTTTAACTGATTTGCTCACCGACTCCCAAATGATTCGTTCGACGACTCATTTTTCCAAACCACTCCTTTGCGTGACGCTAATCGGCGGTGATTGGTCAGATGACAGACCAAGGAAATATAGCGATTTGGCATGAAACGTTGATGGAGCAGTGAAAGGGTTCTGCCCACAGCAGAATGACACGACAAACTCATTTTTTTTAAAATGGCATTTATCGCGTTTTGGAAAAGAGCTCCTCATATATTTAAGTACTGAGTGAGATTAATAAACTACATGTATTTACTATAGGGTTAGGGTTTGGTCGAGGGTTAGTTGTGATTTTGTGATTATGCATAATTTACTGTTATTAAGTACATGCAACGTAACAAGGACACTGTAAAATAAAGTGTTACCATTTAATGCTGTGAAAGTTATCAGTGTGTACTTTATTATTTAAAATATAATAAATATAAATGTAAATTATAATATAATAATACAATATTATTCTGGAGGGTCTAATCATCTAATAAAATGATAATTTATGAATTCTTTCTTTATTACTTACTTGTTAGAGACGTTTTTCAGTCTATTTCTGTTGATCAGTTTAAAACATATACGGTTCAGTGCTTTTGGTTTTAATTGTGTGAAGCTGGATGTGAATCAGGGCCTAGTTTCATCACTTAAACAGATGGTTATCCTTGATTCCAGGCTGGTGCATCTGGACGGCAGTCTGGTGGACATCTCCATGGTCAAGCCCACGCTCGACTCCAGCGCCAGCCCAGGCGAGGTAGAGGAGACCGCAGACCTGGAGGAAGAGGAAGAGGAGGAGGAGTTCAAACAAATGGACGAGGAGGAGGAGAAGTCTGAGCCACACGTCGTTCCTAAGAGCGACACCTGCCCGATGATGCCGGACCCGGCGCCAGACCAGGGGTCAGGTAGATATGACCTTTAAAATGTGTGTGTTTAATGTGTAGTGTTGCTGTTTGAGGATGAACAGCTCTTCTCTATATGAGTGTCAGTGTTCCTGAACTCCTGAAACGCCTCCATTGTAGTCTCGAGTTTCTTCCTGGAACGAACACATCACAATATTCCTCATTATAGTAATTAATGCACAGAACAAAGGGGCGGGGCCTGGTTCAGTTAGTTAGTAGTGTGTTAAACTGGTGGACATTTCCCAAACACACTCAAAGCACTCGACCAATCACAACACACTGCTCCAGCCGACCAATCAGAGCACAGTGTGCTTTTAAGGAGGAGGGGCTTCTGACAGGAAGTTTTTTTTTTTTTTAATTGAGAAACCAAGCAAATAAACAAATCAATAACAATATCAAATCTTATTACAAACTTACAGTGCTCATCCTAGATAAAAAATTAAAATAAATAAATAAACAATCTTAAAAGAACATGGGGCATGTTATGGCAAAAATGACAATTACATATTCAAAGAAATTAAATTAAAAGGGCAATTATTCAATAAGATTGTATACAAAAGAAGCAAGTTTCTCAGCATTCTTGTTATTAACCAATAACAAAGAGTTATAAAAAAGATTCAGCTCATTTCTCCAATGAGTAATGTTAGGAAATATCTTGTAAAAACGACATTTATGAATGAAATGTTTACTTAAAAGAATTATGTTGTTAATGCCAAAATCATTGTGATCATTACGAAAAATACCGAATTTTATATCATTAATTGTTAGATTCATCAACTGAAAACAATTGTTGAATTTCCAGCCAAAACCTTTTTACAATTTCGAGACAGGAAGTAAACAGAGCGTTACCGACAGACTGGGAAGAGAGGAGCCGCAACAATGGAGAATATGAGGAGAATAATCATGAAACCTGTTCTGGGAGAAATAAGAAAATAAGCTTTTATACATATTCATGTACAAGTTAATGCAGTAAAACCAGAGCACATGGTGTCCTTTAAACATATTAAATTAAATTACAACACCAAATAATACTTTATATCCTGGCTTTTAATGAAACGCTCTATAAAAATCTGAATTCATATTGGTTGCTCTCACTGCAGCAATACAACTGGATCAGGCTTTTATTGGCCTGACGGCAGGACAGAGTAAATAGAGCGGGATGAATATGTCTAGACTTGTTTAATGTGTAAACACTTTTACAGTCGGCCTGAGGAAGAGCCGATGTGCCGTATTTCACACCGGCGTGTTCAATTCCTGCTTATAACTATATACTTACAACTTACAACATTATTCAGAAGGGGAAATAAGCATTTGATTTTTTTTGATTTTTTATTATTCTGTGTGTAGCAGCTGTGTTTGTGTGTGTGGAGTTACACATTCCACAACAGGTCAAACTTTGGTTTTCTAAAGTGTAGTTACTCAAACACTTACACTTGTGCTTTATGTATTTCATAAACATGTCAAAAGCATGTCGCTGTGATTCATCCATGTGTGTGTGTGTTTTATGACCGTTTGGAGATTGGAAATATTTTAGGCATTATTTCGTGCATCTGGCCGCAGTGTTTGCGCTCAGCTCCTGTGTCGTAATGTCGGTGTGTGTGTTGCTGTGTTCAGGGACGGTATTTCACTGATAGTCATCACAGAAGTGTCTGGTGAATGTGATGTTTTCTGCACATGTCAAGCACAGTTGCATTATTTAACTAGTGTTTTTTTACTATTGTAGTATTTATTCATATTTTAATTAGTGCTGTCAAACGATTGAAATGTTTAATCGCGATTAATCGCATTAATGTTGTAGTTAACTCGCGATTAATCGCACATTTTTATCTATTCTAAATGTCTCTTGATTTCTTTTTGTTACATTATTTATTTTGATCAACATGGAAAAGCTGATTGGCTTTTTTAGTGCAAATGTTTTTTTTTATTATTATCAATATTAAAAATAACATTGGAATAGTGCTGTTGCATATCGACAATATGGGAAAATAAAAGCTTGGGCAATTATTTGAAGTTTATGGTATTCGTTTTGTTCATATTACACTTTTATTGTTTGTGAATTAATTTGACAGACAGCATTCGCTGATGTTGATCACCGTTACACACCACTCCTGTAACACACACACATTTGGGTGATTGGCGGGTGTTAACGTTGATCCTGAATATTTAACATCAATTTACTAACCTTTTAAAACTCTCAAGGTATTGACTTTTGTTCGACTAATACTATGCATGATCTTAATGCATGTGTGTATTTCTTGTGAAGCGCTGAGGAATAAGTGGCACCTGGTGGTGGAGCGTCTGACGGTGTTGTTCCTGAAGTTCCTGGAGTACGTGCAGAAGCTTCAGCTCTTCATCTGGTGGCTCCTGGAGCTCCACATCATCAAGATCGTCTCCTCCTACATCATCTGGGTCTCAGTCAAAGAGGTGAACGCCGCAGAGCATTGCTTATTGGGAATAAAGAGCTCCCAAAAATAAAGATTCGCCCATGATTTACTCACCTCATTCCTGTGATCAGAGCTGACCTTTCAGCATCAGTGTCACATGATCCTTCGAAAATCACTCGATTTGATGCTCAAGAAACATTTATGATTATTATCAGTGTTGAAATCAGCTTCATATTTTTGTGGACAATTTTTCAGGATTGTTTGATGAATAGAAAGGTTATATGTGAGAAGAAAGCTTTTATTTGAAATGAAAATCTTTTGATCCATTTAAAGAATTCTTTTCAAAACAGAAATGACAAAATGTACATTCATATATTTTTATTCATCCATGTTTCCTAAGATTTGTCGGTCAGTGGCGATTCTTCAGTGTGTAAAGGGTTGATGATCAGCAGAAACGTGTCGTTCTCAGGTGTCGCTGTTTAACTACGTGTTTCTGGTGAGCTGGGCCTTCGCTCTGCCGTTCTCCCAGTTCAGATCGCTGGCGTCGAGTGTGTGCACCGTCTGGACCTGCGTCATCATCGTCTGCAAGATGCTGTACCAGCTGACCTCCATTAACCCTTCCACATACTCAAAGTCCTGCAGTATGGTGAGACTCCTGCACCCCTCAGTACATGCGTGAGGTGGACATGCTCATGCTCATTCTCATTGGCTGCCAAAACCAAAGCATCCGTTAGTAATGGGATTCACGGCTCAATCAGGCTCAATGTAAACACCTTAACCAATCCGACTGAGCTCAATACGAGCGCAATTTTGATTCCAATTGAAAGGCGTGGTTTATTCCTTATCTAATCCGATCGACAGAACATATAAAGTGAAGTCAAAGTTAAGTGACCATTTCAAGTTAGTTTAACATGAACTAATCACATTTTAACAAGAAACCCGATACAATTAAAACATAATTAAATTATATATTAATATATGTACTGAATGTGTGGTTGTGTGTATCCAAGTAATGCAGGTGTCTTCTTTGAAACACAAAGTTAATCTGAAGTTAAACCTGCCTCCTGGTAGGTTTAATTTAAGACTCAATTTAGTCCTGGAGTAACTGTAGTCTTCCTCCAGGAAATTATTAAACTCTGGACTAAACTAAATCTAGGACTATTTAAAGCCATGACATAGAAAGCAGATTTCTGTTAATCAGGTTTAAAGGGCCATTTTATTCTAGGACTAGGCTTAATCTCTGTCCGGGAAACCGCCCCTTAAACATTGGATTGGATTACAAACTGAAACTGAAAGGACTGCAAATGTGCAATGACGTAGACATAGCGCAATGATGTAGAAATGGTATAATGACGTGGAAATAGCGTAATGACAAAAATAGCGTAATGATGTTGAAATAGCTCATCGACCCGATCACATGTTCAGCGTTCATGTAAACACTACATTCAGATTCATCAGTTGTGCATGTGAACGAGCCCGTGTCTGGTTCTCTCCTGAAGCCTAATAACTACACCGAGGCACAAAGGTTGGACATGGCCAAGTCTCTTCTCTACAGCGGCCCGGTGGACCCGGCCAACTGGATCGGGCTCAGAAAGTTCTCTCCACTACTGGAGAACCTGAGGGTACGTACACACCAGAAGTTAATCGATCACCCATGTATTCATGGACACCATACTTCATAACAAGAGTTTCTGAAATTGTGTTCTGAAGTTGAACTAAAGTCTTACGGGGGGTGAGTAATTACTGACAGAGTTTACATTTTGGGGCGAACTATGCCTTTAACATCCTTAAAGGGTTAGTTCACCCAAAAATGAAAATTCTGTCAGTATTTACTCACCCTCATGTTGTTCCAACCCCGTAAGACCTTCATTCATCTTCGCAACACAAATTAAGATATTTAAGATATTAAGATCGCTCCTGCATACTAGTCCATAGGCTTCTTGAGGGAATGACTCTTGCTGTCCTCGAAAAGTCATTAAAGACATCGTTAAAATAGTCCAAGTGACTACAGGGGCTCAATCTTAACTTTATGAAACGACGAGAACACTTTTAGTGCGCAAAAACAACAAAAATAACGACTTTATTTCAACTATTTGTTTATTTCTCCCTCTGCGCGAGTCAGGTTACTAGTTTAATAGCGTAAGCTTCTGTTATTGTACGTCACACGCATCACACACATGACCAGCGTCGGCCAATAGTGAGCCTACGTGTGACGTAGCTTTACGCAATCACACTACGTTAACTGACTTACAGGCTCATGGAGAAGGAAGTGAATAGTTGAAATAAAGTCGTTATTTTTGTTGTTTTTTGCACACAAAAAGTGTTCTCGTCGTTTGATAAAGTTAAGATTGAGCCCCTGTAGTCACTTGGAATATTTTAACGATGTCTTTGATGACTTTTCGATGCCAGCAAGAGTCATTCCCTCAAGAAGCCTATGGACTGTATGCAGGAGCGATCTTAATATCTTAAATATCTTAATTAGTGTTCCGAAGATGAACGAAGGTCTTACGGGGTTGGAACAACATGAGGGTGAGTAAACACTGACAGAATTTTCATTTTTGGGTGAACTAACCCTTTAACCTTTCGTTTCCCCACACAGAATAATTTATTGATGTTGGCCCTCTTGGCGTTCGAGGTGACGATTTACCGTCACCAGGATTTCTACCGTATGAAAAGCAACCTCACCCCTCCAGTCACGAGAACCATCTTCCACAACATCACACGGCAACATCTGGACGACGGCATCGTCAACTGTGCCAAATATTTCATCAACTACTTCTTCTACAAATTTGGTCTTGAGGTAATTCCATCATTATGCTAATCAGTGAGTAAATACACCTTTACATCTTTAAAAAGCTCACAAGATTTTTAATGACATGACATCACAAGGCTGTGTTTATTTGATCAGAAATACAGAAAAAAACAGTGAAATATTATTCTAATGTAAATCATCAGTTTTCTATGTGGATATACAGTAAAGTGTAATTTATTCCTGTGATCAAAGCTGAATTTATCATCATTACTCCAGTCTTCAGTGTCACATGATCCTTCACAAATCACTCTAATATGATGATCAAGAGACATTTATGATTATTATCAGTTATGAAAACAGTCATGCTGCCTCATATTTTTGTGGAAACCAATTTAATTAAATTTTTCAGGATTTTTTGATGAATAGAAAGTTTAGAAGGACAGCATTTATTTGAAATTGAATCTTTTGTAACATTATAAATGTCTAACAGTGCCTCTATAGTGGATATGTTCCTGCATTTATATTTGTTGATCTTTTGTTGATCCATTACAGATTTACGTTAAAAAAAAATCGTGAAATATGACCGATGTTATGCGATCCATTGCAGTTTTGCGAAATATTCCGATACTTTCCTGTTATCCGGACTCCCCGATGGCCTACCCCTAACCCCGCCCCTAAACCTACCCCTCACTGGTGTTAAGACCAATCAGGGACGATGGCCTACCCCTAACCCCGCCCCTAAACCTACCCGTCACTGGGGTTAAGACCAATCAGGGACGATGGCCTACCCCTAACCCCGCCCCTAAACCTACCCCTCACTGGGGTTAAGACCAATCAGGGACGATGGCCTACCCCTAACCCCGCCCCTAAACCTACCCGTCTTTTTTTCAGATGTTTCCATTGGGCGTTTTTTCAATTCGCAATTTCAATTTGCGCAATATGAAGGTTAATGGAGACGCAGCTTATGTTTGATTGACCCAGGAACATGTCCTACTTGACAAAACGATGTTCATCCCTTTAGGGTCCAGTTTTTGTTCTGTCCAGACACTGGTTTGGATCCCGTCTCTCCTGATGGTCTCTAATAGATAATCTGCGGAAGCTCATATTCCTAACACACTGCTCAGACCGATAAACCACAATATAATGCATCAGGGATACGTGATGGATATTGAATTTTAATTTGTGTGTAGTGATCTTTGCAACGGAAGTGAATCAATCGAAACTAACTTTAGCTGGACAGTAACTTTATTCTAGAGCCAAAACAATCTCTGTTACTCTGTTAATTTGCTATTATCACGTTAAAGCTGTTTAAAACAGTCTGTATTGTTGAAAACACTGTATAAGTGAAGGTGATACTATCAGATGTACCCATTATTATCCTAACTTGAATTCTCCAGACCTGTTTTCTGTTAGCGGTGAACGTGATTGGCCAGCGGATGGATTTCTATGCCATGCTGCACGCGTTCGGTCTGATAGCGGTGATGTTTCAGCGTCGGAGGAGAGCCATCGCTCACGTCTGGTCCAAGTATTGCTGTTTCTTGGCCTTCATGCTGTCCTTCCAGTACCTGATGTGCATCGGCATCCCTCCCGCCGCCTGCACAGGTGAGGGTGCTTTAAATGAGACGTCCTTTATTCTCTATTGTGCCCAGGGTTTGAAATGAACACAAACGAGTGTAAAACTGGACTGTGGCACTAACGTTGACGCTAACTGTCCATCTAAAACACGTTTGTGATGGTGAGGATGAAAGAGGAAGAGAGGAGATGCTGGATGACAGGACTTTGTTTGAAATATAAATTGAATCCAAATTTTATTTTATAAGCTGTGACATAGTTAAGCTGGTTTATGTCTTTTCTTTTGTTATTTTTTATTTATTTTTTTCTGAATTAAACATTTAGATGCCAAATTGGTTGCGGTGTCGTGAAAAAGTTCATTTCAAACCCTGATTGTGTCGTATATCCGATTGAATCACTTCTGGAACAAGAACACATGTGGGCGGGGCTTGATTGTGTCTGTGTGGAACTGATTGGATGGTTGTGGTTTGCTATTGGCTGATCTCATGTGAGTGTCAGGTTATAGCCCCGCCCACATCATCAGAGAAGAGATGCTGCAAGTGGAGCTGATTCTCATTCAATATTACCAGGAACATGAATTTAACACAATAATGATGATAAATCATTTAGAATAAAAATAAAAACTAGAATTGCCTATTTTGATTTCATGGTGACTCGAAGGTAAGTTCCTCAACCAGCAACAAATTCAGGTCTTGAAGTCTTTTAATAGTATGTTACATTGTGCTTTTCATTGCCTCATTATTAAAAAAAAAAAAAAAAAAAGATGGATATTTTATTGGTACTTCCTATGAATATGTTTTATAACATTTGTAAAAATGTTAAATAAATAAACACTTAAAAAAATAATAATCCAGGTCTTGAAGATGACCATGGCTGTATTTCTGTGTGTGTCTGCTGTGGTTCAGATTACCCGTGGAGACGCCCGTCGTCCAGCATGGACTCCAACGTCATCAAGTGGCTCTACTTCCCCGACTTCCACACCAAGCCCAACTCACTCTTCCTGCTGTGTGAGTAAAGACCTATGGCTGCTCAAACTTGTGTTGAAATGAAATTAGATTCTTCCCAGGGTTATTATCATTCACTAAAATAAAAAAAAAATAAAAAAAATAATTGAAATAAAATAAAAATCTATTATTTGAGCTATTTGCTAAGGCATTTGCGTTCTCTCGCAGAAATATTTGCGATCTCAAAATGATAGATAGAGAGATGGATGGATGGATGGATGGATAGATAGATAGATGGATGGATGGATGGATGGATAGATAGATAGATGGATGGATGGATGGATGGATGGATGGACGGACGGACGGACGGATAGATAGATGGTGGATGGATGGATGGATAGAGAGAGATGGGTAGATAGATAGATAGATAGATAGATAGATAGATAGATAGATAGATAGATAGATAGATAGATACTGATAGATAGATAGATAGATAGATAGATAGATAGATAGATAGATAGATAGATAGATAGATAGATAGATAGATAGATAGACGGATAGAGACGGACGGACGGACGGACGGACGGATAGATGATGGATGGATGGATGGATGGATGGATGGATGGAGAGATAGATAGAGAGATAGATAGATAGATAGATAGATAGATAGATAAATAGATAGATAGATAGATGGATGGATGGATGGATGGATGGATATGGATGGATGGATAGAGAGATGGGTAGATAGATAGATAGAGAGATAGATAGAGAGATAGATAGATAGATAGATAGATAGATAGATAGATAGATAGATAGATAGATAGATAGATAGATAGATAGATAGATAGACAGACAGATAGATAGAGAGATGGATAGATAGATAGATAGAGAGATAGATAGATAGATAGATAGATAGATAGATAGATAGATAGATAGATAGATAGATAGATAGATAGATGGATGGATAGATGAGATGGGTAGATGGATGGATGGAGAGATGGATAGATAGATAGACAGACAGACAGACAGATAGATAGATAGATAGATAGATAGATAGATAGATAGATAGATAGATAGATAGATAGATCTGTTGTGAGTTCGGACAAACACTTTCAGTTTCATGTCCCGCTGGCAGTGTTTCGGTCAGCTCTGTACATTAACAATGAAGCGGTTCATAAAGTTATTTTGACCTTGGAAATAAATATAAATAAATACAGTCACTGCTGAGTTCAAGGAGTTCAGGAAAAGTGGGAATATATTCACAGATTCGAACTTCCCGGATCAATAACTCGTGAGCTAAATGTTGTTAAAACTTGGTTGTGTGTGTAGACGACTTCTTGCTGCTGCTGTGCGCGTCGCTGCAGGGCCGTGTGTTCGAGGAGGAGTGTGTGACGGCCGTTCAGATGCTGGCCGGCGATAATGTGGAGATCTGTCGAGACCTGGACGCCGCCAGCTTCAGCCAACACAACCCTGTGCCCGACTTCATCCACTGCAGGTCAGACCGTCCCCAACCACCTGATACATTTCTATATTCATAATCATACAGTAACTTCTTACTTATTGCCCTGATGGTCAAAATGGGAATTTTCAATTCTTTTGCTATTTTTCTTACATCCACTTTCTATTTTGTGAAGCTCAACAATCTTTTGATGCACATCAGAAGCATGTTCTTTGGTTTTATTCATTGTGATGGATGATTCAGGGAATTTCGCCTTTGTGCTTCCTCATATTTAAACTCCTGTAAAACAATTTCATGTTCCTAGTCACCCTAGTGTGCTAAAAAAGGTAAATATTAATGGGAATATCCTTTACTCGTTAAATATTCTAGGGCTGCCAATAATTGTGGCCAACGTGTTTTGGAGAAAAACATTTATTTTATAATGTGATTTCCACCCCACTTTCAATTCTTTTACTTCAATGAAAGGTTAGGATTTTGCCAATTTTTTGAAGGAAAGATCAAAAGGATAAACAATGCAGATTTATTTTTTTACTGCCAGTTTTAATCATATTTACCAGGGGTGCCATCAATTTTGACCATGACTGTAACATTACGGATTTATATTCCTTGTGCTTTTAGCCAACATCATATTGCTTTGCAAAATAGCAGAATGACTAAAAAAAAGTTATATTAAAATAATATAACTGAATTAAAATGCTGAAAAACACACCATATTTATTTTACCCCCTACTTGTGTCAAATGTAAAACACATTTCTATGGATGCTCTGGATTTTTCAGTTACACACATAAAATATCTTTTAGATGTTTTTAACCTACATTATATTCATGCAGCACAACGTTGTCAACATGAGCTCCCCAATGATGTGACTTACTTACAGCTTTCTTTATTGAACATGATATGAAGTGTTGTGTTTACGTCCGATGATCTTGCCTAAACTTCATGAGAATGTCATCATATATAAATATGTTGTTAAATGGGGAACTCAAGAACGTTAAAACATAAAGCAACTCTAAAACTCTTATTACTTTTACTGCCATCGCATATAACCCAAAATACACTTCAGTTGTAATTGCATCATTACTTTTTCAAGTGATTTTGTGGTCCGAGGACCAGCTGAGCTTCCTCTGCTTGATACTGTAGAGTAAAATGAGAGGATGAATAGTGATTCTAGATCACAACGCAATTTATCTCTGCTCAAGTCATCCATCATCTGGAGTGATCTTCAGCTCTTCTGCCAGTTCAAACAATTAGAAATGATGATGGCGATGAAGAAATCTGGAGATTTTCTGCTCTTAATGATGCCTGTCTGCTGCTCTGATCATATTTAGAGGATATCACATGTGTGGTTTTCCACTTCTTCATCATTATCCTTATGACTATAGTTGCATATTCCAATAATAAATCAAAATAACCAGCTAATGTGATATGTGTAATTCTGAGGGAATCAGGACTGCTGTTACTTTAAAAATGTTCAAAACAGGACTGAGTCAGAGATAAAATAGCCAACGGCCTCACCTTGCAAGTATCATCATATCACACCAAATTAGTTATGCCAAAAAAAATAGCAAATATTGCTATTTAAAATGGCTGATTCTATGTGATTATACAGTATAAAAGTGTAATTTATTCCTGTGATCAAAGCTGTATTTTCAGCATCATTACTCCAGTCTTCAGTGTCACATGATCCTTCAGAAATCACTTTAATATGATGCTCAAGAAACATTTATCATCATCAGGGCTTGACATGAACTTTTTTGCCACTTTAGCCACTCAGCATTTTTACTGACCACAATTTTAACATCGATACTATGGAGAGAAACTGCCATATAGATATTTTTATTATTATAAATCTATTATAATTTGGCTGCAGGAATATTAGGCTGCTGTCACTTTAAGACCTGATCCATTATACTCTTACACGTGCGTTTTCTTTCTCAACTGTTTACATTCACTTGTGTTTATGTGAATACTCATCAAGACTGGCATTTTCACATTATTTTGTGTGTATTTGTGTATTTTTGTGTGAAATTAAGTACAATACACACAATCCCACGCCAAAACACAAGCCCTGTGTCACCAATAATATTCATCCAGAGCAAATGAATCGAGTGAGTGAGGGGAATTCAACATTTGAAGTGGATCAAAACCTTGCATCAAAGCTAACGTTGACTACTGTATAATATATACCGTAAGTATGACCTATAAAAGGACGTTTGGCCTTTGCAGGTCGTATTTGGATATGCTGAAGGTGATCATGTTCAGCTACCTCTTCTGGTTCGTCCTGACCATCATCTTCATCACGGGCACCACACGCATCAGCATCTTCTGCATGGGGTACCTGGTTGCATGCTTCTACTTCCTGATCTTTGGAGGCGAGCTGTTGCTGAAGCCAATCAAAAGCATCCTTCATTACTGGGACTTCCTCATAGCGTACAACGTGTTCGTGATCACCATGAAAAACATCCTCTCAGTAAGTATCTGTAAAGATCCGCTGAAGGCAAGGTGTATAAATAACCCAAGAGCAGTTTATTTATCAACTGAACTAAACAAAAACATGGCGTGAAGCTTACCGATTACATTGACATCAAACTTGACAAGGACACATGGCAAACATGTGGGCTTAAAGGAGTAGTTCACTTAAAAGGAAAAAAAAAAATGCTGATAATTTACTCACCCCCATGTCATCCAAGATGTCCATGTCTTTCTTTCTTCAGTCGAAAAGAAATGAAGGTTTTTGATGAAAACATTCCAGGATTTTCTCCATATAATGGACTTCAATGGGGTCCAAACGGTTCCAAATGAGAGTTTCATTCACTTTCAAAGGGCTTTAAACGATTCCAGATGATGAATAAGGGTCTTATCAAGCGAAACGATCGCTCATTTAATAAATAAATAACAAAGTTTAAGTTTTATAAGCTCAAATGCTCGCCTTGCTCTGTTCTGTGATGCGCGTTCGTGACTCTCCTGTTCGAACTCTTTCTTCAAGTCATTTCGTTCATTTTGTTCGTTGAATGAACCAAATGACACGAAAAAAGATTTGTTCATTCAGTTTCACTAGATAAGACCCTTATTCATCGTCTGGAATCATTTAAAGCCCTTTGAACAGTTTGCACTGAAACTCTCATTTGGACCTTGAACCGTTTGGTTCCCATTGAAGTCCATTATATGGAGAAAATCCTGGAATGTTTTCATCAAAAACCTTAATTTCTTTTCCACTGAAGAAAGAAAGACATGGACATCTTGGATGACATGGGGGCGAGTAAATTATCAGTAAAAGTTTTTTTTTAAAAGTGAACTACTCCTTTAAATACATAGACTAATGACAAGGGACACCTGTAAACAATGAACAGACGATTAACCAATGACAAGACACAGGGAATCACATGACACGAACGAACCAAAAAATGACAGACAAGACCAAATCGTGACAGTATCTCATAAATTTGGTGTAGTAAATATATCCGTGGGCTGAAATAAATGATAACGTCTGGGCTGTTGTGTTAAAACTGTTCTGAAGTCAGAGTGAATGAAGTGAAAACAAGTGTTTGTGGGATTTGATGAATAATTGATTACACACTTAAGGGTGACAAATGGAAACTATTTCCCAGTAACAAACAACGATGTTCTCTTTCAAAGAGGTTCGTCCAACATTTGTTTCTGCTGGATGTGATCGTGACTATATCGTGGTGTCGGTTGTCTCGTCTCTCAGGTGGCGGCGTGTGGATATATAAAAGCGCTGGTGGCCAATCACTGCTGGCTGATCCAGCTCTTCAGTCTGGCCTGCACTATAAAAGGATATTCAAAACGTAAGAAATGCTTTCATTTCCTCTTTGGTTCAAGGAATTGAATGCTCACTTTCAACATTTATTTATTCCACAAATCCCATGTTTTTAATGCTGAGAACTGTGAAATCTAACCTAGAATTAACCTTCCATGACAAATAACACACAAACTATAAACTAAAAAATGTCTGAAAGGCTTATAAAGGTTAATTATTAGCTCATTTTAATATCACTTTTAATGTGTCTGTTAATAATAATAATATATTTTTTTAATAATAATTTTATATGCCTGACGTTTGATAGTGTGTGGGTTTTCCTTGCCCCTATGGTGACTGCTCATTAATATCCATTTTAATAAGAGATGAGGTTGTGATGATTGTCGTGTGTCCCGCAGCGGAGCAGAACGCACACAAGCAGTGTGAGCTGCCGAGTGACGAGGCGGGCATCATCTGGGACAGCATCTGCTTCGCCTTCCTCCTCCTGCAGAGACGGGTGTTCATGAGCTACTACTTCCTGCACGTCGTGGCCGACATCCGGTCCTCGCAGGTCCTCGCCTCCAGGTACGACACGGGCTTCCCTCGGGTCCTTCACATCCTTCACAGTCTGTGAATTTAGAAAAAGAAAATTTAGAAAAGTTTTGGAAAATAAACATACATAGATCCGTGAAAGTTTTCTGGTAAATTATTCCCTCCGGTCGGATTAAATTTAATCGACACAAAACTTAAAAACGATGAAACCTCAAAAAAATGCATTTCTTACTTCTTGTTTTCAGTCCAAATATCTGAAAATTCTTAAATCAAGATGCATTTATTAGATGATGATTTAAGATGTTAACCTTCAAATGGTCTTCGTTTCCTGTTTACACTTCTGGGCTTTAACAATTAACGAGTTATTGTACAAAAAATATACAATTTTTAATCATACAAATAATATTTTTATTATTTATCAAATTAATATTTTTCTTTATATCTCCAAAAACACAGCATTACTGAATAGATGAGAAGTAAAGTACTTTTGTATCCATATACCACACAATTCCTCAACTACACCATTAGTTTGCATATGAAATATTATTTTTTATGATACATTGCATTTATGCTCTAGTACTAGGCCTTCATTTCTGTGTATAAATTTCAGATTTATGCCGAACACATGAAGAAAATATACTTAGTTTTTTTTTTCACATTTCCCATTCATTTCAATGTGGGGTCATATTGACCCCGAAGACCAGAAGGGTAAACATTTTTTTTTACATACCTTCAGAATCAAGCCCAGTTTTTTTTTTGTGTGTGTATAGATAGATAATGTATGAAAATTCACAAAATCTTATTCCACTGAGATGAAGGGAACCTTTTTTTTTTAAGTAAAAGTCGATTGGGGTCGTATAGACCCCAAGACCCGATTGAGGGCTACGTCCTGTTTTGCAGGGGATTTAATCAAAATTAAGTGAGTTTAAACTAAATGATCTGCCAATTTGGTGATAAAAATAATCTTAATACAAACAGAAACAAGCTTATTTTCTATATAACTTTGTTTTAAGCAAAAACTCACTTACTTTTTATATATTTAACCAAAAAACAAGACTTAATATCTTACGTAATTTTACAACTTTAGTAAATGCATCTTGATTTAAGAAAAGTTTGATATTTGGACTGGAAACAAGAAAAAAATCCTAAGTAAAAGCATTTTTTTGCAGATTCAGTCCTTGAGTTTGAGCGTTTTGGACCTGGAAAGTCCTTGAAAGGTTCTTGATTTGAAGTGACCGAGGTGTGGGAACCCTGAATACCGTTCACATTTATTTGCATAGCGCTTTTCACAAAACACATCATTTCAAAGCAGCTTTATAGAAAACACATGAGTCCACATTACAATTTACAGTGATCTGTTATCAGAGGAAACTCTTAAATGATGTATTTCAGAAATGTACATACACTATACAAAATCACAGTTAGCGAAAAGGCATTAATTTAAACAATGTAATAATTTAATGCAGAAACAATGAGCTCATTGAAGTTTGTTCAGGTACACACACCGCTGTTTGCTTCTCATCTGTGCCTGTGTGTCAAAGTAACCAGAATAGTCTGGTTTTTTTTCATTAACGTCATGACCACTTCATAAAACAAACGAGACACACAGTCAAACCCAAAATGATTCAGACACCAGATATAAGTTTTAATATCTGTTTACTAGTGTGTTCAGGACACTATAGTTCATTTCTGTAAGTGAGGAGAGCAAAATAAAGTAAACTGACATATTACACACAAATATTCTTCAAATTTATACACATGTGGGACTAAAAATGATTTGAGCTGATGATGTTTTGCTGAAGTGTGTTTTCTGTAACCGCTAATGCTCTTTTCACACACACTGAACAACATGAAGCATTGCTTGAGCTAAACTGGTATTATCTAATTGTGTAGTTCAATTAAACAGATATTCAACATAATTCATGCGTGAGAGTCCAACAGAAGGACGGACAAAACCAGTCAAATATCCACTGATCTGAGAACTGAGTTCTGCTCATGTTTATCACCAGCGAATAACCTGTGGTGATGCGAGAAGTGTGTGTGAATAAGTGTTGGTTTGACTGTAGGAAGCACATCTTGACTCTTATTTGAAACTGCTTAATATTCCAGAATGTAATGATTTGTGTTACGAGGGCCTCGGGAGTTATTCCGCCTGTGTGTGTGTGTGTGTGTGTGTTCATTGTTTCTCTGTCAGAGGAGCGGAGCTATTCCAGGCAACCATCGTGAAGGCGGTTAAAGCCAGAATAGAAGAAGAGAAGAAGTCGATGGATCTGCTGAAGAGACAGTGAGTTCATGAACAGCTCAGTGTGGGACTCACAATGTCTCATTGTTCACTGCCAACCGCTGCATTCCTCATACAGTCCGCTCAAATCATGTGATTCTCTATCACTTATTGGTTATTAGAGGACCTATTCTGCTCTTTCCATCTGTGTGTAGTGTTTGAGGATGAAGAAGCTCCAGTTCTTCTCTATATGAGAACTCCTGAAACGCCTCCATTGTAGTCTCGAGTTTCTCCCGGGAACGAACACGTCACAATGTTCCTCATTATAATAATTAATGCGCAGAATAAAGGGGCGGGGCCTGGTTGAGTTAGTCAGTAGTGTGTTAAACTGGCGGTTATGGAAAGGGGCGGGGCATTTTCCAAACACACTCAAAGCGCTCGACCAATCACAACACACTGCTCCAGCCGACCAATCAGAGCACAGTGTGCTTTTCAGGAGGAGGGGCTTCATAGAGACAGGAAGTAAACAGAGCGTTACTGACAGACTGGGAAGAGAGGAGCCACAACAATGGAGAATATGAGGAGAATAATCCAAAAAAATGAAGACGAGCAGTGATATCTCAGACATACTCTGATTGTGTTAAGCTAAATGAGGCCAACTCAAGCTAAAGCCCAACCGTGCTCTCCTTCCCTCTGTTTCTGTCAGGATGGACCGCATCAAAAGCCGACAGCAGAAGTTTAAGAGAGGGAAGGAGAGGATGTTGTCTTTGGCTCAGGACAGTGGGGAAAGTCACTCAGTGGTGAAGGAGGAAGAGGATGAAGATGAAGGTATGTTGATTTGAAACATCACTGCTGAACTCCGTCCAAAGATGCATTAAATCCATTAAACGTGACAATAAAGACATTTATAATGTTTCAGATAAATGCTGTTCTTTTGAACTTTCTATTCATCAAAAAATCCTGGAAAATAAAATCTAAACAGTTTCCAACACTCATAATAATCATAAATGTTTGTTGTGCATCAGATCCTCATATAAGGATCATGTGACACTGAAGACTGGAGTAATGATGCTGAAAATCACAGGAATAAATTACACTTTACTGTATATTCACATAGAAAACTGATGATTTACATTAGAATAATATTTCACATTTTTTACTGTATTTTAAAAAAAATGCTGCTTTGTGAGCAGAAGACTTTCAAAAACATTGAATGGCA